TAATGGGAAATTACCATCACAGCTATACAATATGGCTTATTGTCTTGCATGATGGTTTAGAGAGGAGTATACGCCTGCTGATTTGGATAACCGGGTTGAAATTAGTATCATGCTCGAGCGATACTATCGCCAAATAGATTTTGCTCTCCAGTGTGCATTGTACGTAGATGCCCACTTGGCTAACACACCTACACTAAATGATTCACAATTAATTAGTGAAACATTGTCCGGGCAAAATGGGTGCGAAGTGTTGACTGAATTTAGTGAGGTTTCCTGCTTTATTTGTACCACTCATTCGAGCTCGCTCCATGCATTTGTCCTGCGCATAATATATAGCAATGATGACGACTGTACAAATCTCCACAAGTTTTATGTTGGAAATTTCATATGTTACAATTAAATATATGAATTTTTCTCCATTGGGAGTATCAATGTCATTAAATATCACTTCTTGGTACTTCAAAGTCCAAATTCACGGAATATTGACCTCAATCATCGAACATATTCAACGCATGTGGAACGTCGACATCTAGTCTCATCAATATGCATGCGAGGAGTCCAAATATTTTAGCGAGGCAGAACGATATACACAGTGGAGTTATTGAGATCAAAGCCCCAAGCTGGTAATAGTGAGTGTACGAGGTCAAACCATTCTGAAAAGGGTTACATTCAAAATATATTTTTTATTCAATTTGATATCAATGAGGGAATTGTAATGGAATTTTCCATCATTCGTCCCTCCGTAGAAACAAGTTTCCTCTGGGGTTTTTATCATTTGTTCTCTTAATTGAGGAAAAAACTTGATCATGAATTTTACAAAAAGATGATCAAAGCCCGGCTATAATTATTTAATTGGGCCCTATTAAATACCAATGTATTTATTTTTCTTTCCTTTTTCCCAAATGTATGAAACTCAATTTTATCTTTGCCCATTCACTGAATTTTCTTCATTAAGACATTGCTCGGAGTTAAACCGGATTGAGAGAATTGAAAATAGCTCTCGTTTAGTACTCATTCAATGGACTATTGACTAGTTGATTTCACTTGCTTATGCACCCTCGGAATTGTTTTGTCGAACAGACAAGAGAACTGCCAGGTCGTTGTTGGGCTCAAACCAATTGCACATCTCCGTGCCTATCACGCTATATATTATTCTCAAATAAATGAGAATTTCTACCACTGCTATTAATTTCCGGCGAGAGAAATGTCGATATTATCATAGTTTTTATATTTTTTGGCACTCTACTGCACTGAGAATAGCAGCAAAGATAAACAACAGGAAATATCATACATTGTAATCTCCTCGTGAAAAGCCGGCGCAGTTCTCCACTTTTTTTTTCTTTTCCAGTATTTTTTGTCATTTTTCCTCTACTGTGTATCTTTCATACTTTTCCCCCCAGTGCAACAAGGATTTTTATTCCATCAGCAAGCTTTAATATCTCTGCGCTCCTGTGCCTTAATTCCTCCCTTGGTCGGAGTTGAATACACAGGCGAGATGGAATAATTCTACGAACGTTAACAGTTAACACCCCTGAACTGGTGAGTGGAAAATTTTTGTCCACGTCCTGCGGAGAGACATATTTTTATTCTCTCGCAAGATACTTCACAAGAAATGGAAAAAAAAAATGTTGAAGGGAGATTGCTGATGAAACAACAACAATAATAAGAATAAAAATATGAAAAACTTGCCTCCTCTCTGATCAATATTTTAATTTATCTTATGCCTCACAGCAGCACTTGGATTTCACTAAAAAAATAAGAGTCAATGCCCACATGGTGATGATTCAATTTTCTGTCCATAATCGGTCACCGATTCAATTGATGCATGCATCGAAAACTCAATTAGTGGAAAATGTTTGGCATATGGATAGACCACTTGGCAACGGTTATTTTCATGAAAACCAAAGGGGGCTCTCTCATAAGGCCAATATAACCTTATTAACCGCGCAACTGGCAAGCTACTCTAATACTCTAATATACCTCATCACGTCTGCAACAGCACTCCGACTTCCGTGATGTTGCGTGGAGCCTCTTAGTGAGAGACTTGCGGAGACTCAATATCAATTATAAATTCATCTGCACAGACGAGTACGAGAGGCGAAATTATCTCGGAAAATATATATATCATCACCCGTATAAATAATCGTCTGAACGGCTGATTAATAGATATACTAAATATTTATTGGCCCGTTATTCTCCATCTCCATATACAGAAAGCTCTGAAAATAAATAAATTTCACGATAAAAATGGATAATTTAGTGTTGAATGATTTCTCCTTTGAGATTGTCGGACACACATTGTCGTTGGCTAAAAATTTCTCGCTTATGCTACGCTCGTTTCTTTAATAATAATAATGATGATGATGATGATGATGATGTCATCAATTTATAAGCATTGCAGATGTAGGGCGGGCCATCAGTCGCAGTGGACATTGGGATAAACAAACAGATTAATCTGTGTTATGCACCGAACGTGCGATGTCAGAGCTACCTGAATGGCGCAGCGTAGCCAGTGTTCCACTACTTGAATCGCTATGTACATGGCCGTTTAGCCTCCATACATCAATTAACATAGGAAGCTTTCGAGAGCTTCAAACCACCAGAATTATTAAATGCCAACCCTATAATTGATAGATCACCCGGATTTTTCTTCATTAATTTGTCACTATAGCCTCACGATTTTTTCATCCCTATCATCACTCGCTCCATTTATTTTACCATCTCTTCTTTGTAAATAATAGTGAAATAATTGAAACAGCAACAATATTTTCAACAATCTAATAGATATTAGCCTGAAATGCATTTGCCTATGAGTGCCTATTAGATTCACTATATATTTTATACATAATGCTCAATGCATATACGTATGTGTTTATTTGGTAATAGGAATGTGTAAAGTGTATAACACTATATGTATAGAAATGGTAGAATGGCTCATGGCATAGACAACATAGTTGTTGTCGCATAACAACGTAGAGAGGTTGTGTGGGCTGTGCCGTGGTAATCTAATTTACTCTTCATCGGGGATACAAACCTATTTAGTCCGCTACCGTTGACTCTATTTCCCCGGGAACCCAGTCCTCCACTATGGACGACTACTAAATTATTACTCCATTTTTTTTTCTCCTCCTCTCAACAGCATATATGCAATCAAGCCCTTTTTCCCCATCCTATTCCACTTGATAGAAAATTTTATACCAACTCAAATTTATCTCTTCATCTACTTTTTTTTTTTTTACAATTTTGATAAAATTTCATTTATTCGAATTATCATACACCAATGAGATATTATAATCTCTCCATTCGAATGTCATCAATATTTGATTCTCCTATATTGATTGCATTAAATCTATGATGTAACTGCAGTGATGTTGAGTATAGGAAAATGATGGAAAAATTCAATGAATTTAATTGTTCTCCCAGCTAATTGTCCCGTATTTGATGAATGTCCGTATCGGAGTGAGGTTTGACTGAATGGACTCCCAAATGAGCTGAGCTCATACTTTATGAGCCTCGATGAAGAATCGACAATATGGGGGAGAGGGATGGTAGAGGGGCAGAGTGTTATGAGCACATATGAGAGGAAATGAAGTGCAGAAATGTCGAGCAGAGTGCCTCCGAGTATTCCAGATCGAGTCTCAATTATGACGAATTGTCGTGATTGTGAAAGTTATTAGCGTGCCAATGACCTCACGTATATTTTTATTTATTGCTTTAGAAGGTGAAACTATGAAAGGTTTTGGCAAATACATTAAAGTGAATTGGAGAGACTTGAACCAAGGGCTCTCAGTAGTCACTCGCACGTGTCATGCTCAAGATCCACGGAATTACTACTGTGTGCAGCTCAAGACTCTTGGAATTTCATTCTCTGTATCACCTCAAGAGTGATATATACAGTCCTCATGACTGAGTCCCATAATGGCAAAGTGCGAGACGCGTCATAGCATCACACATTTTATACGACTCCTCAAGTACTTGCGGCAAAGGACATTCGAGTGCAATGAAAAGAACCCTCAAAAGTTCGACTCCCGGATAGGAATCAAGAGTGAGAGATCTCAATAAACACATTTTACCATCGACCAAATCCAAATGATAAAGAAAAAAAAAACAGTTGGAAAAGACATTGCCTTCATTCATTAATAATCGTGGACATTATTTTTAAATGGAAACTATAAAAAGTATGAGAGAATAAAAAAGAAGAAGGAAAAAAAGGAGAGGCTGACTATAGTTGTGTTGTGTGAAGTATGAGGGGTAAAAAATCTGAATATATAAAAGCGAATATTCCCATATCTCTGAATATAATCTCGACAGCTCGACCAATATGCACATGTGAAAACATTTCGATTAAAATTCGTGACCTAGATATACGACTGTATATATATATATATATATATATATCATTTGGAAAAGTCTGGCCATTGCGTGTGGTTATATGGTTCACAGTCCTGACGACGACGTTTCAATGTATATCCATGTACATATGTTTAAACAGCCAGTAAATTTTTTTTCACTCACTTGTTATTCGACATACATTGTACTATCACATTCTATATGAGCGGTGTACGCAAAAAAAGACTTTATTAATAATTCTAGGTTCAGTGAAAAATGGAATTTTTAACGTGGCAATTGGTGAGCGAGCGTGTGTAGGTACGTTGTTGCAAATGCGATGGAGTATAGAGAGCATTTTCTACGATGAAAAGCACAGCAAAATCCGGCAAAACCACGTACAGCTAGACCCAACGAAATGAACGTTGGTGTTCCCACGGGATTCTGGAATGCATGGAATTTCAACAGTCGTATATGTGCCTCCCCCATCCACATACAACTCCTCGCTATACCCTCAAAACCATATGACCTACCTTTCCAATTTTCAACTCCAATCACTCGATTGCCTCTGCAATAACCCGATAGCCTGCCATACCAAAAACTCCATGATACTCCCAGTTGACTCGTGTCAATCAATAATCAGTGAGTAATTGGATTGTTAATTATTGTTACAGTTTGCCATGCCATCCAGAGTTTTGACGAAACACCACAGTATACAGAGGTGAATCCAGGACAAGATGCTAAGCTCATTTGTCGCGTCATTGGTAAACGTGGCACTTGCATATGGCAGAAGGATCAAAAGGTTCGTTATCACAACATTTTATCCATAGCTCCTTCAATTTATTCTCACTGACACGAATTTTATTTTTATATGAGAAGACACACCTTGTCTATTATAAATTTTTATCACCTACGCTTCGATTTGTTTTCCTGATGATATTTTCAACAGTATAGATAGAGCATTACCATTTATTCATGTATATTTTCTAAGTTAATTAATCTTAAGAGGAAAGAAACTATCGGGCTGAATTGTTCATTGAGATTGAGACATGATACAATGCGATTGGCCAATTAAAAACTTGAAAGGGATTATCTATTTTTTTCTTTTTCTTTCTCTCTCTCTCTCTCTCTCTTGAAAATTTGAAATCCATTAAGTATGGAACGTTCCTGCGCGTTTTTATGAAAAAAGAGACTAACGATATATTTTGAGTGAACCTTTTGCCGCACACCGTAATTACCCGTATATATCTCCGATGCGACGTTCCGCTCCGAGTTGGAACCTCCAGTCAGACAGTCCTCCATTTTTCATAATCGCCTTTTCATCCGCATCAAGTTCATTTATTCATCAATGTCCAGCTTTCTCACTGAAATCGATATGGCATGCTGGGTGATTTTCAAACTTGGAACAGCCTCAATCAATTGAATGTGGGAATTATAAAAAAATACTCTCATCTTTTCGCCAACAAAATAGGTACGACACTTGAATCATTTTAATTATTCTCATTTGGATCTTGGCAATTTTTAGCAACTTTTCACACCCCCGTTTGAAAAAGCAGCAAATCATAAATTTGTAATAAATATCATTTCATAACCGCTAGAAAAGTTTTTCATGGGGAGAGAAAAAATATAAAATAAGAAATAAAAATGTTTATAACCCTATAAAATAATATGCCGATAATTCTGGAATATAAACTGGTGGAAGGTTCGTTGGTTGAGTAGGCGATTGGCAATTTCACGTACACATAGAGTTGTCAGTGGGAGAAGCGGGCAAACTTGGTGATATGGTGAGAAAGATTTTATGCTACTTGGGTTTTTGGCACGGATTCTCCCACTTCTTCTACCATCCCACAAACTGTCCATGAACAGAAAGATGGTTGAGGGTTCAAGTTGGCTCGATTCACAACCCGCACCTATCAATTATTCTCGTTTTGAGGTCACCACCCAAATATCGGTTAGTAAATTTCATCAATCTCTCTATTTGAAAATATTGTTCGCTGTCGACGTATGATTATTTATTTACCTTTCAATTCAACACACTCAACGGTGGATGAATGGAATCATGATTGAATGGAAACAGTTTGGCCGCGGACAAACTACATGGCAGATATGCATCACTTGAGAAGGATGCAAGTGCGAACCAAACTTGCCGTCTCTGGCCTCAATGAATAATATTGTCGAACACGTATTCTGGGTGGCATTTTCCACCATTAGCACTACCAAGGAACCAAGCCAAAGATCGTAGATGCGACCAACTTAAAGTCAATTTATACTTGTTCTCACATTCATTTCAATGCAACCAGCATCTCTTGGTGATATTGATAATTACATAAGTAAGTTATGTGTCAAGACACACTCTCATTCACAATTTTCCCTTTTCAACTGAAGCTATTGAAAAAGAATTAGCAAACAAAATAACAGGCAATGATGACATTGACGCATTCAATGAATAACAAAAGTTGAGGATATCAATAGACATCGCAATGTTACGCGGTAACAACATCCATTGGATTTGGTCGCTGAATGACAACCAAAATCGATTAGCAGCTATATACATATACATATACAACTATGAAAGGCGCGGGCGCCTATTGAAAGTTCCCCGTAGTGACTATAAAATCTCCACAAGCAGCGGTGTTGCACATAAATTTCAATCACCAGTGCTTTTCAAGATGTGAGACGTTCGTTCTCTCGGTATTGTCCTCTTTTGCCAGATTGAAGCGCTTTATAGCGCATCTTCACACATATAACCCCCATATTGTTATACTTTATTTCACTGGTCGACAAAAAATTGCCAACACCTCTACCATCACTCCAACTTATAGTGTTGAAATTTGTTGATTCAATTAAATAATTTATAAAATATGTTTGCATCAGAGTTTGCACAGAGTTACACAGAGAGATTACGGAGCATAGGTGTAAGAGTAACAGAGTAACAAAACCAAGAGACCAGTACAAGCCACACGGGGAAGAAAGACGGTAAATCACGCCAAAGAATTCTTTAGACTCGCGTTCATCATATTATTTCCATGTTTAACATTTCTTCAACAAGCCTTCTGCAGGGGGCTTTTATAAAGCATCAAACACCTCACCAACAAATTTAATGATGAATGGAGGAGGATCTCTTTCACATTTATTTAATTGGAAATTACGCGATGCCGCCGTGGTGTATGAAATTACGTTGTAATTAACAAGAAAAATAATGATAATAGTATGGGGGATGGAAAAGTAGGAATGAGGTATAGGGAGAGCGAGGAAATATAAATATTGCGGGATCATAGGTTTTTTGATAGGAATGAGCCCGGGTATTAGCGAAGGAGAAATAGCCGGGAAACAAGGAGAGCGGATGTTGATAAACTCAGCGATTATGCCGTTTGCCGGATGAGCCAAATATTTGCACGAAATATACAAACTTGACTTGGAAAAGCGGCAATGGCACGGGGATGGTGCACTTATATTCCTACCCTACTATTCCCATGCACTCAAAACGACGCTCGTCGGGATTAGCTGAGCGGACTGTACCGATATGTATATATATATATATATATATATATATGTACATTGCAACTTCACCATCACATGAGTTGGTATTTTGACTAGGACAATGTGGGAGTAAGAGTATGCACTCGACGAATGCGATCCCCCCGAAAATTTTCAGTCTATCCCCTTATACCTTTGTGGAACCTACCTATTGCGGTTTCCCTAGAGTCAGACAGAGATAGGCCAAAGGATACGTCAACGACTCCCTCCAGGGTACCTGTGGCAAAATATATTTCAAGAGGAGCATGCAGGACGAGGCAATAGAGACTCTCATCTCCGCCCCATAGTCTTGTATGAATATGGCATGCATTAATTTGCATATTAATTCGTTGGAGTAATCCATTTGAATGACACGTGGAATTGGAAAAAAAAGGCCAAGCAACGGGTATAGATTGAAAAAATAATTATGTTGCAGCTCGGTGAGACTCAATCATCACAAATAATTAATAATTATAGTAGAAGAGCTTTATCTTTCCATTATATTATAGGCTAAAATTCTTAAATCAATATAAACAAATAGAGATTTATTTTTTTTGCTATTATTTCACAGAGGCGATGATATATTTTTATTTTTCCACTTTTTCTCCAGTATGTGCCTGCCTTTTTTCTCCTGAATATTTATGATGAAAGATGTAAATAACCGGAGGGATCAGGCTGACTCGTGGTGGCGTACCCTCGGGGCATTCTTCCTCCTTCTCTCTTCCTCCTCTAACCACATATAGACACCATCTCTACATATACACGGAGAGCGAGAAAATTCTCTTGAGAATATGACGTCGTTGTCTCTGATTTGGAGCGAGCAGCATGGGAATACCTTGGGGCTTTTGATTTCATTTTAAATATCCCACCACCAGCATAATAATAATGCTGCAATATTCACAGCACGACAACGCACAGTACGGTATAACAGTGGATGCAGGGGAAAGATTTTTTAATGTAATAATCAGTGTAATACATTATTGAAATGGAATTGATATGCCAGCCATTCAATGGAATTATTGGAATTATTGATTTGCATCCTAATGCAAAATACGGTGACAAGAGAAATCCATTAAAGCATCGATAATTTACACGTGAAGATGGCTCTCGGAGATTATGTCGTGAACGGCAATGTCTTGGACAGACGAGAAAATTGGTTTCAACTTCATGTCGTACAGTCGTACCGTTTTTGTAATTTTTTTTTTTTTGTTTTTTTTAATTTCTATCGAAAATGAGAGAATCTCCGTGAGTCTTTCGTATGGTGGATTGTAGTAGGAGCGTAGTTGTATACGGAATGCAGTGTAAAAAGGAAGTCTCTTTGGGGATTAAAGCGAATGGTATTGCTGAGGCTTCGACCAATAGATTTAACCTCTTTTTTTTTTCTTTTCTTTCACTTTATTCCTAGAGCTGTGAGTTGAGGGGTCGTAGAGGCGATCTGTTTGGTGGGTGGGTTTGGGGCTCTCAATGTGATTGCCATGTGCACGTTGGCTGGCGCAGTCGAATACGCAGTTGCAGGCAACATTATTAGCGGGGCACCCCCTCTCTTTTTGTCAGTGTGTGAAAGGGCGCAGGACGAGATGAGATAGCTGAGAGGTAGAGGGGGAGTGTCTGCGGGTGCATTACGCTGATTGCTGCTCACAGCCTCTGCTGGAGAACACAGCAAGAGCATTTTAGCCTGGTATGGGGCGGGAGGGGTTTGGGTAGAGGGGTACCAGCACTGGCGTGCCGATGAGCACCCCAATGACCCCCCGACTTCACTCTCTTTCTATCTCAACGGCCGAGGAGAAAGGAAATAAGAGTTTCACCTCCCCTGGGCTTGCGCGGAGACATCAACTTTTCCCTTTTCACCCTCTTTTCCTCTTTTCACACTGAGTGAGTACACACTCTTTTGCACCGATTTTAATCCCTTAAATGAGTGACGCTACTTTTATATCTTTATGAATAAAGCATCGAATAACCATTTTCCACCATTTTTTAGACATGTCAAATCATCTCTCCTAATCTATCACACTAATATACTTGCCCTCCAGAGTGATTAAGTAAAATAATTCTGTACGCGATTTCAATATATGGAAAAAACGAATAGAAGATAAAACAAGTGGCCTGGATATTTTTGAGTGGCTTTTCATTTGGTCGTGAATATTTCATTCATTTTTCTGCACAATATCGCACTCCGATGAGCGAAAAATCCGAGTGAAAAATAAAATGTCCGTCAAATACTAGTAGTACTTCAAAATTGATAGGGTTTTTACGTAATGCTTTCCAGCATCCAATAAAGTTTCCAACCTTTCTGAAAAAATTCTCCAACCATTCGGAACATTTATTATTAATAATAAATATTTTTTATTACGACATTGATTGATATTTTTTGAAATGAGGGGGTAAAAAGCCTGAGTCGCGAAATCCCTTTTTCATGTTCAAGTACATGGGAAAATGACAAGAGCGTAGACATGAATTGTGGCAGTGAATCCTTGTCGGATCGAATCGGCGTACACCAATTGTATACACGTGTATACTGCGAGAATGACGGATGCATTGGTTGAATGACGTTTTTCGATGGGCATTCCAAAACGTGATCCAATCTCGTTTGAACGCATTATGCATTCGTGCAGTCTGCTTCATCCACTTGATCTCACTCCATCAATATTTGCCTGAGAGCATCGCAAAAGGAATAAAAATATAGAAATACATACTGGCTTTTCATTTGTTCCACTGACAACTTTATTCACCATTAACCACAAATTCAGGCTAATCTTTTGCGCAACATGAATTTATTCCTGAATTTTCTTCCCTCATTACGAAATGGAAGTATTCCTTCAAGTGCAGCATCAAATTTTATAGCTCTTTTCCTCTTAAATGAACTGCACTGAGGAACATAATTACTTGGCAAGTAAATTAATTTAGCAGAGGTGTTTTCCTTTCTCACATTGTTCAAAATGTTGTTCAACTTCGAGTAATTATTATAGATGAGATGAGAATGAAAAATGACTTGAATATTTAGTAAATAAAGTGATTGATCAACGAAGAATTGCCGAGAATTACTATTGACGTTGAAATTTCAGCCAATTGGAATGCACCTCCAGAAGTACGAGTGGGTCGGTTCACCGGATGTTGGCGACTGTTCCCTGTGGGTGAGAGCAGCAACTCTGGAGTTCGATGACGGTCTTTGGCAGTGTCAAGTAACAGCTGGTGATTTCACAACTCAGGATGCTTTAGCCTCAGAGCCAGCGAGACTCGTTGTACGAGGTAGGATATATGAATTGCCCCGGAAAAATAAAAACATATAAATTCCCGTTAGCGGTATGTTTACGCTTACGGTATAGTAAGGAGAAAAATAAAAATTCAAGCTCATCGATTATGCGCCTCTAGGGTTTGCAGGGTCGTAAACCGTCGGTCGACGTTGATCGATTGCCAGGATTGTGAGTGCGACGTACACGGCCCTTGGCGTTGTCAATAAATCATTAATTATTCATAATATATACGCGGGAGTGGATATCACGTCGTCTTTCTCTATTACTCTTGGTACAATATAGAAGGGGGGTAAATGGGGCCTATGGGGAACCAAGAAGATCCGTTGGATAAAGGCTGATGGGGTTACGATTGGAGGTAGACACCAAACCGAGGCACCGCAAAAGTATAGATGACTGCATGAATAGAGTTACAAATGTAAAGGATGCAATGGAGCAAGTGCAAGTGCAGAAGGCCAACGTGGATTACGAATTAATCAAGGCTAATTGTCTCATTCCAGTGAGCCCTCAGCGTCCACAGATAGAGTATGGCGGTGCAGTAATTCTAACCGGTGGAAATGTGACAGCCCGAGCAGGTGAGATTGCAACGCTCACTTGTACGGCCCGATATGGCAATCCTCCACCTCTAATTAAATGGTTCGTAATTAATAAACCTTACTCTTCCTTACTGTTTAACTAGTAAGCTCCGTTAAATAAATTCACCCCATCACAATCGTCACAAAGAGTAACAGTTCTGCATTTATTGCATTTTTCAATTTTAACATTAAAATTCATCGGCCATTGCACTCGCCCTCAAGATTTTTTCTCCAATATCTTATAAATTTAACCACATGACGCATACCGTGCGCCTCTACTCGCCATCCCATGAATAGTCATCACTCTGCTCTACATCTCTTCTATAAAAGCATCGTCATATGATGTGCATTGTTGAAAATATATTTTCCACCATCCACTTTCAACGACATCCTTCTACTTAATAATAAAACACAAATCAATTCAAATAAAATAACTATTAGTCTTGTTATTAGTTTCTATTATACCAATTCGTACCAACTCTTTTTCCAACAATTTAGCTACAGTATTGCATTCCATTATCGATTGTATTTCACATTGTTAATGCATTCCCATCATCCCTTTTTTGTTTATACTTTTAATTCGATGTATTTTTTGTTTTTTTTTTTTGGTTTTTATTTTTTTATTGTTTTTTACTCCATCAACCATGTACGTACTGTTTTCGTTGGCTCTGGGCATAGTTACCAGCTGCAATTTTTCTTTTCAACTTCACGCAGTTGTTTTGTTGCTCGTTGCATTTTTCGTTCAATGCTACACGTGGAATACGAAATTTCCTGGCAGACTATGTGCCATTGGCATACCGGTGTGCGCCACCAGTCGTGCTTTTAAATTCACGTTTCGGGTGAAAAAAAACGATGAAAAAAAAAAAAAAAAATCCAACTCATGCACACATTGAACGGTAGGCGCCCTCAATACTTTCAGCTTTCTCGCATACACATATACGGTGAAATTCTTTCTACTGAGAATAAAAGAGATCCCACAATCGAGCCTCGTCTATCCTGTGAAATCGACTCTCCACGTTTTCGTATAAAAATCCCATTCGTTTATTTCCGAAATCTCTTCTCCAGGCCTTCCATCACCGCAAAGAAAAAAAAATCACGCAGGCATACACCCATACACACGTGCAAGACTCTCACTCTTGAATATTCAATCACCCAGCATTTAAAAATATCTCCAATATCCGTAGTGGAGATGAAAGATGAGAAAAAAAAAATGGCTCAAGTAATTTTTCCGGAGTAATCTCGGACCGACTGAAATTCTACAGATAATTCGGTGCAATTAATCGTTCTTCTTTTCTACCCAATCGTGCGTTATAATCGACCTCTCGTGGATCTGAGACAGGGGGAAATGAGTAAAGGAAAATCCAAGTTCTCGGTAGCCGGTTGAGGGATGCGAGAAAAAGAGTGAAAATGGATCCCTTTATTTATCCCAACGATTTTTTCTTAATGAGAAATAATACACAAAGTGTAGGATTTTCCGAGGGGACTCAGGTGGCTTTTACATTTATCCGAGGTTTCGAGGGTAAATAGAGAGGGAAATGAGGGGTGAATATCCAAAGGATTTTAGCTTGTGGAAATGCAAATTGGCGAATGTGCCAGCAGGTATTTGAGCCATACTGAACTGAGGCCACAGGGATCCCAAATGAATGCAACGGAGATTGATAATCCACGTACGTGGTCGACGAAGAGTGTTTGCAATATTGAAGCTGATAGATCTAGGTATGGACAGATGGTAAGATGTGAAGCTATTCATCCTGCCTATCCTACGACATCTTCGAGCATTGATGTTCGATTTGATGTCCGATGTGAGTATATTTATTTATATATCCAATCGCAGTAATTTTTCCCAACCATTTTTCACCTTGTTTTTATTCTCTCGGAAGGCAATCAAATAAATTTAATGAATTCATGTTATATCACTGCGTAGGCAGAAAAAATTTCAATACTCCCTTCAAATTGCAATATTAATCAATAATAGGAGAAAAAAAAAATATTTTAAAAGGAAAGAATAAATCGCCCTTCCATGGTTGGAAAAAAAAAAATTCCTCGAAACATTTGTCTTTATCTGTCAAGTTGTATTATTTTTGTGACTGTTATTTGATATAGTGGACACTGGACCGGACAGAAAGCACTCTCCCAGAATCATGTTTGCACTCACCGTACTCCTCCTTCCTCATTCCAGTGCTGTCTACGTATATCGCAATTCCCTACATTCGTGTGACACATACTTGGATTCAACCATGACACTATTCTCTATAGATGCATAGATATAAATATATGTAGGTAGCCGGTCTACTCACCTCTAATCGCCATCGATCTTGAGGTTTTGCTACGTGACCGCTGACTGGGATTCCATTGCTCGATTCCTCCGAAAAAGCCACTGAATAAACTATTCCCTGAATTAATTCCTCCTATAGTCCAGAGAGAATAGTGATTTGGAATTGCAATTTCAATTGTACAATTCTCATTCGAAAGTTTCGCCATCTTTATTGCATAGCATTGCCGTTTGCGAAGTCCCGGAGGCATGACAAATTAAATATTTTTTTTCGATATAATACTTATCTCAAGTACTTACAAATTAAAATTCACTGTTGATTATTTCAATTAACGTAAAAATAAACGAGAGAACTCTGGATAGCATGCAAAATTTTGACCGCGTGTAATAGAGAATAAAAGATGAAATTGTGAATGGGTCAGTGGGTGTTCATTCGCGCGTATTTTGAAATCATTGTTACGTGAAATGGCCAGCTGCGCAAGCTATCCCAGTTGGACTTTTTTGTTGGAAACTCTAGGCTCCGTTCTCACTTCTCACATTTCCATATATCCGACAAAAAATTAATTGCCATGCCATACGATTGAGTTATACTCCTAGCATACTTTTCAACTCCACCTCAATAAAACTCTTCATTGGTTTTTGTTTTCTTATCGTTTACCATGAGATTTTTGAATTTCTAATTCAGATGCACCGGAAACACGATTAGTTGGAGTTCCGCCTGGACAATTGGAAGAGGGCCGCGATAAACTTGAAATCCGATGTATAGCTAATGCTAATCCAACCGCGTCCATTCTCTGGAAACGTGCTCGAGGAGGAGACATGGAGGTTGTAACCATCGGCGAAACACTCATGTATTCACCGATTCATAGAAATCATGCAGCGACTTATGTTTGTGAAGCATCAAATACCGAGGGCGAGAGCAGCCCTCTTTCTATCCAAATATCCGTCAATTGTGAGCACTTAAACCAATTATAATGACATGTCATAATTTAATTCATAATAAATTTTATATTTACAAATTCGCCACGTAAAAGCCTATTTAACATTTCAGTTCCACCAAAAATTGATTCAGTTGGTCCAGATAGATTATCAACGGCGCTCTTATACTCCGGTGCATCATTCGAATGTCATGCAGATGCTATGCCATCTGCTGAGTACCGGTACAGTGTATTGAGTATTATCAAAATAAAGTCTTCCTATGCTGCTACCCCATTGGAAAATTTATTTATGCATTTACCAAGAACTTTACGTTCTTCAAAAACTCTACTTTTAGACGATTGTAACTTCATTGCGGGAGATGAAAAGAAAATTGATGGATTAAGAATGCTTTAAAAAAATGGCAATCAGGACATTCGATAAAATTCGATATGACGTGATAACGTGACATGCATGAAGAATCATTAATTCCATACTCACATTGGAATTCCCCTTCGTTTCCCGTTCTGTAAAACTTGGACTTTTTTTTTTTCTTCCTTTCATCTCCCTTCGATTGACTCGCTTTGTTCCAAATTTTAATTAAATTATCTTTGCCTGTAAAGTGACAAGATGAAAGTATATGAGAATTTCGTTCCAGATGGGAACAAGTATTTACAGATGGCCGTCCGCCAGCTGAGTGCGGCCGCGGCCAGCGTCTTATCCTGACAAATGTAACATACGAGCAACAGGGTCAATACATATGCCTAGCATCAAATACGATAAACGGAAAAGTTCGTGAGGTGAAAAGCTCACCGGTATCTCTGGAGGTGGTCGGTGCCCCAAGGGTAAATTTTGTCCACTTTATCTCCCCCTCGAGCGGATGATACGATTTTATTGGTGGTTGCAGGTGGTGAAGCCGCTAAGCAATGAGAAATACGTCGTCTCGACGACGGAAGGTAGTGCTGCCCGATTGGAAATCAGATTGTGCTCTAATCCAAAGCCTCGTCTTGTTGCTTGGGAATGGGGTAGTACGCGGCTTCACGCTGGTTAGACGGTCAATCCATTTAGCTATTGAACATTTTTCAACCTTATCTCCACTTTTTTATTGAGCCAGTTGTTAGTTATTGTTGTTGTTATTGTTGTTGTTGTTGTTGTTGTTGAAGGCGAAGTTCTCGAATCGAGATACCGCGCCCTGGATCTCGATCCACTGCCAATGGAGGACTGCTTTTTGGCAGTACTTGAGTTAACCACTACAGTAAGAGAAGACCAACGTGTGTATTACGTCATTGTGGAAAATGATCGAGGAAGTGACAGGCGTGCCCTGATGCTGCGCGTCAATGAGCCGGGTCAGGTAATTAATCTTTGTGAATGAATCTCACCAAAGCTCGTATCATTGAACTCAATATAATTGAGATTATTTTTTTTTTTCTTTACTCCATGTTTTATCGACTTTGTCTCGGCACTCATTGCAGATTCCCCTAGTCATTGGCGCCGTAGCTGGTTTTACCGTTCTCTCAGTCTTGGTAATGGGTTTCATCTGTTTTATGCGATCAGACAGATGCTGCGTACCTAGAAACACGGGTCCAACTCTTCAGCAAGTCCATTGGTGAGAGTGCGCTTTATTCATGAAGCATTTTATAAATTGAATTGAATTGGAATGGAATGCGATGGGACTAAGCTCCGATATTCTGATATCACAGTACAAAAGCATCAAACGCAATGATAGAGGATCCAAGACTAACAGTGGAACCGATGGATCGTACATCTCAGCAGTTTGCTTCTGAGAAGCGCCAGAACCACGTATTGAAACCCGTCCCAACTCAGCAATACCAACAAGACTGTTATCAGCTCAGTAGACATGAGCCGTCGCATGAGTCACACTACCAGAGGCATCTTCACCACAGTCAGGGTCTTCATGGGCCTCAGTATACTCTCCAGGTCAGATAATAAATATCGGGTTAATTAGGGAAACCAGTGAACTTGTTGGCAACAAATTTGTCTTGTCCAAGTAGAATGACTTTGTTTCAATATCCAACCAGTGCTTCTTCGTCCTCTCTCCTCACTTCATCGATATTCTATTCGAAATGGCACACTTGCAAAACATGGATATGATTGGATAGCCTGGCAGCACGTTAGTCACCTGAATTATTTCCATTCCTACTCCACCAACATTGCATAATTAAGGGTTGAAAAAAATTCCTCGGTTGTGTCGTTATGCCTGGAAGGAAGTTTTTGTTTTGGTTACAGCGTGGAACTGGCCTCAAGACCGAAAGACTCAATGAAACAAATTCAATCCGCAACGTTTCGCGACCTCGTTACAGGACCTAAGACTTTAAACAGTTCAACAACTTCAGTCGCTGTTACTGAAACCACATAGTATTATTAATGGAATCGCTCAGCCGAGCCAGTGACGCTCTTCCAGATGTGTAACTAAATCAAAATGACATTATTATTGTTAATGATAGTCTTATGCAAAAGTGAAAACTGAGAGAAAGATGATGATTTATTAACGAAAACACGTTCACTATTCCCAAGCGTCAACTTCCCGAGAGATTTCATTCATTTGTATTATATTATTGAATTTTCTCAAGAGTGAAGTGTTATTAATTAATAACTCTTAAAATTTAGTGACACTGTGTATTATTGCGTCATTCCATTCGAGGTGATTTTTCTACTCGAATCTATTTCACCCCCATGGATATAAATATATAATGAGAATCGAGTTCAAATACATATGCTATGTATGGTATATACCTCCATATACCATATTGCAATGTACTTATCATACTCATGCATGTTTATCTATGAATATCATATGTATACAATCTATACAATCTTTCATATATAATTCACATATTATCATGAGCCAACCGACCATATTTGCACATATGTTGGAGTTTATATGCCATATTATAGCATAAATTGGAAAGAACTCAGATATTCATATCTACACCTATATTCTTCCGTGGGAGAACTGAACCTTCATTCATTGTTGTAAATTAAGATTCTCTCTGAGGCTTCCATAGAGCCGTATGATTGTGTTCAAAAGGAATTTATATCTGCCATTCCAAATCTATTTATATAGACGATAAACTAATTACCTATACGTACTGCAAACTTCAATTATCGGAGGCGTGAACCTACGTGACTGAACATTCTGCCCAATTAAATTAATAAGAATATCCTATTCACGTATTTTCCGTTCCCCCTTTTCAATAAATTTATATTTATATTCCTTTCGAAAGCTACCTCACAGAACTTTATTTCATCTCAATAATCTCAATCTGAAGAGGAATTCTTTAGGGAAATTTCTAAAGTAAAAAAAAATGAACGACAAGTGTGCATCGAAATGCTCTCCAGCTAATCGTTAAAAAAGAAAAAAATAAAACTTAATTGTACATTATGATATTAAAATGATCACCATCCTGAATGTGCATTGTATCCATTGCTATTTCCTTAGATATCCCTGCAGCCGCCATAGTACCGCCAAGAAAACCCTGTTAAATGAAGCCTCAGTAGAACCCATAGAATAGTCCATTGTTGAATAAATTGAAGAAAAAAAAAAAAAGAAAAATCTCTGTAAGATAGCGGTTGATGATAACTGTGCAGGGGGACCAGCTGTTTCTGAAGCCAGAGCGTCTTGCCACGTTGAAGCCGCAGAACAAAAAGGAGAAAACACCGCAATATACAACCTTCAAACCCACTATGACACATTGAAGATTTTGTTATCTATTTTATATCGATATGCTTAGGAGAAATAAATGGCATTCAATCAAATTATAATAGTCTATGATTAATTATAATTTTCGTAGGTTTGCGGCTCGGCCTAACGAGCAATCCATTGTATCATAATGGATTGGACATTTGAATTTGAAAATTTCAGTGAATACCAATTTCGTAACGCTGAAAATAACATTCACCCCTGCGACAGCTAGTGAGGTAGTTGGCTACAGAATCGGCTGACGGGCAGACACGTCAGCGCAATGCCTGTGACGCCCTCTCTCTCTTGGGGTGAGGTACTACAATTCCGATGGGGTCACTCAAACCCCCAGAACTGAGCCTCTACTTTAGTCAATCCTCTTTGCCGCCATCGGAGGAGCAATTTGTAATTTTTAACCGTTCGGAGTGCGACACTAAATAGCCAGTAGAGTTTTGGCGGCAACGACTTTTCCCCCAGAAAATTATTCTCATTTCATCAAAAATAAACAAATAAGAGTACGTCAGTAATAAAATAATAAAATCGAGTCAATAGTACTTCTTAAAATCGTAAGATTGTGTGTAAAAGTAACTTTCAATAAGCTGAATCTCAAGCATAACCTCAAAACTGTGTTTCAGTGCCACCCAAGAAAGGTCTTAAACGTGCTGCCTCAACAGCATCAAATGATGCAAGACCCCCTAAGGCACCCAGAAAAAAAGAAGGTATCAGTTATAAACGCACTAGTTTAATTCACGAGAAATCCATTTAATATCATCATTTTTTCTCCATCTCCAGAGTTAATTGTAACTCCAGAATTACGAAATGTGTCCACTGCTGGTATTATTCTGGCAGTTGGTCAGAACGATGTGGGACAATTGGGCCTGGGCGAGGATATTCCAGAGAAAATACGTCCAGCTATCGTTCCAAACTGCAACGAGATCGTAGCCGTTGCTGCTGGGGGTATGCACAACGTTTGTTTGACAAAAGCCGGAAAAATCCTGACATTCGGATGTAATGACGAGGGTGCACTGGGTAGAGATACTTCCGAGGAAGGCTCTGAGTGTATCCCAGGGTATGTAGATTTGGATGGAAAAGTGATTCAAGTCACGGCTGGCGATTCTCATAGTGCTGCACTTCTCGAGGATGGACGAGTCTTCGCCTGGGGTTCCTTCAGGGTAAGCAAATTATCCTCGCTCAATGATTTTCTTATTCATAACATGTTCACGAATTTATCTATTTTTTAGGATGCGCATGGAGCTATGGGTCTAACAATGCGGGGCAATGAACGACTCCCAGTAGAATTATTACCAACAATAAAAATAGCTAAAATAGCATCAGGTGCTGATCACTTAGTAATGTTGACTCAAAATGGTCGTGTATATACCTGTGGATGCGGGGAACAGGGACAACTGGGTCGTGTTGCATCACGAACTGCCGACAGACACAATCGTCACGGAGTGGAGCATCTGTTAAAGCCTGATTTAGTTGAATTCAAAGTATCAAAGAAACTGGAATTTGAAGATGTTTGGGCGGGCTCGTACTGTACATTCGTCAAGGAGCACAAAAATGGAGATATCTACGTTTTTGGCTTGAATAACTTTCATCAAATTGGATTGGACGATACAATTCCGTATTTTCATCCCAAATTGTCGAAAGCATTCCTTGGCAAGAAGTGGCACCTCATCAGTTCTGGCATGCACCACACAATTGCCCTTGATGAGAATGGCCACGTTTTTGTTCTCGGGAGAAAAGAGTATGGTCGACTTGGCCTTGGACCTGATGCCACTGATGTCTCACAACTTACTAGAGTCGAGAAACTTCAAAATGAGAGGGTGATTGATATCGCAGCTGGCAGTGCTCAATCTTTCGCTGTAACCGACTCAGGTGAGTACAGATCATTGCAGTTTTCTTGGCCTCTATCCTTCTCAATTTATTAATTGATCATAAAAGAATTGATTTATTAATTTTATGCGTATTTTTTAGGTCAACTGTATGCGTGGGGAATGGGAAGCAATTCACAGCTAGGCACAGGCGAAGAAGAAGACGTTGATACCCCTGTTTTAATCAAGAGCAAACAACTCGAGGGAAAAACTGTTGTTCGAGTAGCTGGGGGTGGACAACACACTCTCATCCTTGCAAATACACGTCCAGTCAAGGATAAAACCGCTGGTTAACAGACTCGTGAATTGCAAGCTGAATAAAATCAAAAAGTGCCACAATGAACGTTTGTTCATAACGTTTCTTCGTTAATAGAGATTAAAGTGAACTTGAACGTCCACGAGTGTTTCGGTTATTAAAATTAATTTGTGTATTTTTTTTTTTTTGAGTTATATACACGCGTTAATTATTGGCCCGATTGTTAAGAGGATCAGTGGTTATTGTGACATGGTTTTAAAGGCAACAATTTTGAATTCACGAATTTTCTACTCAATATCAGTAGAAATGACAATCATATTTAGTTATAAAGCGCTTGATATGAGATAGTTTTCCGTTTTGTATGGCTATTTGATTATTTGTAACAGCACATGTTGATCTTCATTTTTGGTGGAAGTAACTGAATAATTCGGAATAACAGTTGATATCTATTTTTCAGTGAATAATCAATTTTCTTAACTCAATACATTTGAATTAATTATTTATGAAATAGTATTTTGATCGCTTCAATGTCGTCAAGTGACAGTTATTGCCGCTTGTGCATTCGTTTTTCAACCCTTAGGTCAGCAGTTAAAAAATTTTTAAAATTTCTTCTTATTTTCACATTTGTTTTTTCATTTTCTCCGGAGCAACTTTTCCTTTCTATGAGTATATTTAAATAAATCCTGAAAATTACTTCAAATGCATTTAATCTTACGTCATTATTACATGGTAATAACCATATCATTAAGACGATGCTATTGAATTATCACTGCTCTTTTGCTGCTCATTCATTGATATTTGCGTGAGTTTCTTCCCAATTCTTTCATGTATATCTAAATACTTGGCAATGCAGCGATCTAGGCAAACTGATTCACCCTTTCCTAAATCTGGCTCAGAGTATTTAGGTAATATACATTTCCTGTGGCACGCGGATGTCATTCTGTTGTACATATCAGACATCATCTCAATTTCCAAGTCCTGGACCAATTTTAATTTTGCCTCATCTAGTTGTGGTAAACCGGCCATTTTCAATAAATATCTTACTTTCAATTTAATTTAGTGAATTTTCTCTTGCAATTTTCCTGTTTATCATCTCCTCACGACGTTTCTGGTCAACTGATTTTTTCGACAGAACAAACAGAGACAAGCCCACAGCAGCCGTAATTGCCCTGAAAAATTGTCATTAACAAATTAACATTTGATCAATGAGATTCGCGGAGGTATCATAGGTTAGAACTTATCTCATTTCGTTAGTATTAAAATTAAAGATTGATTAAGAAAATTAATAAAATAAATACATACCTACCAACAAGTCAATATTTTCGATGCTTTTGTTTCAAACATAATTCACTGGTCCTCTCAATTTTTCAATTTCCAACATCTATATTCTCTATAGCAGTATTATTCTCAACACAAAATGTGAAACGTAACTCGGTTTCCTTGATTTTCTTGCCCCCGCCGCCATTATTGGTGGCGCTATTGCACTCGCTAATGCGAGTGACCCCGGCTGCATCGTAATATTGCACCCCAAGAGAGGGAGGGCGCCACACGCAATGCTGGGGTTTTTTTTTTTATTAACCAAATTTTTATTGCAATGCTGGGTTGTCCATCGAGTCGACGGGTGAATTTTACTTTCTGCAGTATGAATGCTTTTTGTTTTTTAATTGTTTAACTGAAATTTAGCCGACTGAAGAACGTGCGGAAGGGGGAAACCACATCTTGTGATATTTCAATGGAAAAAATTATTCAATGTATTGAATATATACCACTAATGAATTTAAATTTTTAAATTAATGCGTTGTCCTAGCGGTAACGTGCTCGACTGGTACGCCGGCGGCCCGGGTTCAATCCCGGCATCATTCATTTTTTTTTTTTTTTTAAATAATTCCAATTGTTTTTTTATAAATCACTAATCAATGGAAATATCGTTTAAAAACTGAATTTTTGAAAATCGAAAAGATATACAGTAAAATTGAAAAATTAACAATTTTTTAAAACGATACTTTTGCAAAATATATACTCCTAATGAAATTTTATTATTGTAATAGTGCGTTATCCTAGTGGTAACGTGCTCGGCTACCACGCCAACGGCCCGGGTTCAATCCCGCCGTCATTCTTTTTTTTTTTTTTAAATAAATCCAATTTTTTCTTTTGTAAATGGCTAATCAATCGAAATATTGGTTAAACACTGAATAGCTCTTCGATTGTCATGTTCCCCTGATACTTTTTCAAAAATTTCGAATTTTTCACTTTCAGTGAAAATTTCAGTGAATAACTCCTCGATTGTCATGTTACCCTGATACTTTTTCATAAATTTCGAATTTTTCACTTTCAGTGAAAATTTCAGTGAATAGCTCCTCGATTGTCATGTTCTCCTGATACTTTTACAAAAATTTCGAATTTTTCACTTTCAGTGAAAATTTCAGTGAAGAGCTCTTCGATTGTCATGTTCTCCTGATACTTTTACAAAAATTTCGAATTTTTCACTTTCAGTGAAAATTTCAGTGAAGAGCTCTTCGATTGTCATGTTCTCCTGATACTTTTACAAAAATTTCGAATTTTTCACTTTCAGTGAAAATTTCAGTGAATAGCTCTTCGATGTTCATGTTACCCTGATACTTTTTCAAAAATTTCGAATTTTTCAATTGCAGTGAATACCTACCTAAAGAAAAAATTGAAATTATTTAAAAAAAAAAAATGAATGACGGCGGGATTGAACCCGGGCCGTTGGCGTGCTAGCCGAGTACGTTACCGCTAGGATAACGCACTATTGCAATAATAAAATTTCATTAGGAGTATATATTTTGCAAAAGTATTGTTTTAAAAAATTGCTAATTGTTCAATTTCACTGCATATCTTTTCAATTTTCCAAAATTCAGTTTTTAAATGATATTTCCATTGATGAGCCATTGATAAAAAAAAATTGGAATTATTTAATAAAAAAAAAAAAAATGAATGGTGGCTAGGATCGAACCCTAGCCGTCGGCATGCTAGCCGAGCACGTTACCGATAGGACAACGCGCATTATTATGAAAATATAATTTTATTAGTGGTATATCTTCAACATATTGAATAATTTTTTTCATTGAAATTCTACAAGATGTGGTTTCCCCCTTCCGTACATTTTACAGTCGGCTAAATTTCAGTTAAACAAATGAAAAACAAAAAGTATTCGTACAGCAGAAAATAAAATTCACCCCGTCGACTTGATGGACACCCCAGCATTACGTGTGGCGTCCTCCCTCTCTTGGGGTGCAGTACTACGATGCCGCTGGGGTTACTCAAGCCCCCCCAGAACTGAGCCTCTACTTTAGTCAATCCTCTTTGTCCTCAACGCTGTAGGGCTCAAAATGTATTACAACATATATATATATCATATGGCAAGACTGATGATAAACAGATTTAATTTCTTTATCCAATAGAAAATTTGATATTATATTTTTTCTTTATTATTATAAGCTTATTCAGGAAACAGTGATAAGAAACTTGCCGAGAAATAGCGGCTAATCATCCCGTTTTGATACTCAAATATTTTCATATGCGAAAATTTCGAAAATGTTTATCAAAAATTGATTGACGTCATCAGGTGGTTCATCAAAAAACATTAATATCTCCATATTAATTGTTGCCTGTGAAAAAATCATACGCGTACGAAGAGGACTGGAAGCGACTAAAAACGAATAAAGAGTGAGTAAAAAGTAAAATGGTAGAGTTGAAGAGGAAGGAGTTCGCGCAGCGATAGTACGCAGCTACATCGGCTATATAGATCGGTTCAACGACCACCGCCCTGGTCTTGTCCAACCCCAACACGTTTTGATGCTCCCCGACAAGAGCATAAGGGGTGAAAATCCAGCGTGTGTGCATAACCGGGATCGTGCAGAGGGAGCCACGTGATTTTCGCAAAGGGTGGAAAAAAAAAATGGCAAAAAAAAATGAGGGAAGCAATGAACGCCGAGAGAGGGAGGCAAGTGAAACCACCCTCTCTTGGTTTTCGAGGGTGAGAAGCAGGAGCTCCGAGCCCAGGCCATCCAGTTCTGTCGAGCCCAGGGGTAGAAGCTACTGGTTGCTTGTCTGCTCCCTTCTTTCGCTAGTTTCATTTATTTACCTTTTATTTCCATTTTTGATTCCATTCAAATTGCGTTTTTATCATTCGTGTTGATTATTGTAAATAATTCAACCGGAGAATCAAGAATAGGTGAAATTGATGCGGTGCGGATAGCCAATGGTGTAGAGGAACGGGTCGTTGGTGGTGTCCTTTTTATTTTTTGTTCCAATTGTGCTCAAATAATATTAACAGCCGATCTCGTACATTTGGCGATATTTAATCGCATTGTTGGTGTATACTCTTAAAGTACACACATAGAGAGAATTGTTGACGACATATATATCTGAATGTAAATTGGCCTTCAACGCCATTGTTAATCTTCTCGCAAGATCACTGCTGATTGTCCGAAGAGAGTCCTGGGGCTTGAGTCAAAAGTGGTGTAAATTTTATTTTAAAAATTTACACCCGGTGTCCACACCTTTTTTTCGTCCTGAGGTAGGTTCTATTATCGTAATTGCTAATATTTTTCAACTTTACTTATAGAGCAATCAAATGATTTATTCAATTTTTCATATTAATGGAATATTATTACGTATAAATCTATTTTTCAAGTGAAAACAGGAATGTATAACTGGTGCACAATAGGTTGAAGGGGTGGGGTCCGCGCCGGGTTGGACCTTGGGATTAATATTCAAGGCGTGGCTGAGCAATACAATAACAATGGAACACTTTTCACTATAAACTCCAAGATACAAATATTGAGTTATCGTGAATAATTGATGAATAAGTTACTCATCTTTATCTCATTATTTTTTTAGCTGAATATTCTTTGGTGAGATAATTTCCAAGACAATTGAACTACCTTCTAAACTTGGTGTAGCGATCCGGTGATCGACGCGGCATTTTTCCCCTGTTTTTCCCTGTGGCCAGCTCGAGACCACCACGTGTCAGCTGATTAAAATCAATTATAGCTAGTCGAGGTTCTTGATCTCTCGTTATCACAGTGGGTGCCGGTTTCGTTGGTGCACCGGGGCTACGATGCCTGGAACTTTGGTATTTTTCACTCGTTGTGCCGAAGGCACTCACAGTGCCTGGACCCGGATTCATTCGAGTACCACTCATTGACCGGTATCGAGAACCGCCTGGTAAATCCAGCGTGTCCTCCGTGAAATATCTGTAAAGTCATAAAAATTTTTATTTCAATGTTGAATTTTTTTTCTTCTTCTCAAAATTAAGTATTGAAAATTTCATTTGAATTGAGAATTCCAGAAGCAGAATTGTAGAGTAATTTTTAACATGGAGAGATTATGATTAGCGCGTTGAAACAGGATGAATTTACTCATGAATGCTAGCAAGATGCAGGGGCGCAGGCGTCCTAGCTGTCCGGGGTCGTGGATCCCGGGGTTGCCGATGCCTCTGCCTTGACTGACGCCCGCGTTTGTTTGACGGTTGATCGGGTAATCCCGAAGGTATTAATCCCGTGAGTTTGTAGTATTCCATGAGAACTCGGGCTAGATTACGACCAACTCGATAATCTTCATTCAGTCAGGGAAAAAATCCTTAATTTATCTAATAATTGTGTGAAATCAAGAGGAGCTGGGTAAACTATTAGCTATATAGAAGGATACAGCTCTCTTCAGTGTACGGCAGTAAGCCTGGTGCTCCTCTCCGGCAGTAACCGTACATTGACACCTGAATAGTATAGCAATTAACGTGTTCACTCAGAATTGAACATAGATATCGCCTGGCAGTGCCCATTTTGTGGGGATCCTGATTATACATTGTGTTCCCAGACTCATAGTCTTCAGCGTGTTGTGCTAATAATTTGGGAAGAACTATGTGTCTTTCGTACCTAAAAAGCTCATAGCTGTGAGTTAAAAATCTACTAATTGCTTGTTTAATTTGATATGTTTAAAATTTTCGGAATTATTTCAAAAATCTATTCAGCTATATTTCAGGAGGAATAACAAATTCTACAATTGATGAATTTTTGATTTTAATTAAAAGGTATCTCCTTGATAATTCCCATTCAACTACCTGTAGACATCATCGTACGTATTGCCATAGACGAATAGTCCTGTAGCATTGGTGTGAGCATGAAGGTCCAAGACACAGTCCAAGGGGATATTCGTATTTTTATCCAGTGACTCTAGGAGAGTTTTTGTGGCAGATAGGGTCGGATGAATCCAATCAGAGATTCTATTCCATGCACGATTCAAGTCTACTCCCATCAAAGTAGATCTGAATAAAATCAATAGATTCAATCAAAGTTTTTTTAGAGTAATTTCATAGAATGAAATGACTCGTCAAACTTTCCCGATGGAAATGATGAAGAGAGAAAAAGTATATTTACAAATATGCATTTAAATGAGTGACCTGTAGTTTCCTAGGAAGACACCGTCCGGGTTGAGCATCGGTATAATTTTGAAAACAACATAATCCCTGAGGACCTGAGCAATTGGATGTCCACTGACAAGAAAGTCCATAAGCCCCTGACAGATGAATGACGAGGGCGACTCTCCTGGGTGAACTCTGCTAAGTACAACGACAACCCTTCGGGGACGCTCCTCAATGTTCGTTCCAATAGTCACCAGTTCAACTTTCCTCTTCTGAACGGATGATACCAGAGTTTCGCGTTTCACTGAAGAACATTTGGTGGATAAATTATCTAAATGGCCCTGATAGCGTGTATAGGAATAGGGATAAGTCAGGGCGAATTGGTAAACATCGTCTTCGCGATCAAAATTGAAGGCAAAAGTGAGAACGTGATGATTCTGATGTTGAGCTGATCGGTAGTAGAACACATGCTTCCGTGGTATTCTCTGCCATTTGGGTTTACTAGTGCTCTTTACAAGGGGTGTCATTCCCTCTCTGAATAAATTTTTGCTCTTTGATACGTTGACAATATTGAAAATAACTCTCTGATCCGTGCGAACGTTATCGACGGTGAAATTGAACCACAAACGCAGACGAGGGCTGCAAGTGTCCGGTCTGATGAAGAGATCGTACTCATATTCAGAGATTAAATCTACTCTCCCAAGGTTTCCAGTTTCAAAGGCAGCATCGAAGCACAGGTGGCCCTTCTTAGCTTTGCCACTGTGTCCCGGTGGTCGAATTATCACTCTACTGACATTACCAAGTCCTCCCTCTGCGTCGCTATCATCACTGTCTACAAAAATGATTATTTTACTCGTTAAAAATATGGACAAGTTAATGATTATTAACAACTTTTCCGGACAAATGACTAATTTGATTGACAATGGAATTATAAATCTAACCAGCTCGCTGATAAAGACTAGTATGCTCTAAAGGATCGCGGCCCTCCATCATCATTGTGATGGTTAAGCAGTCACTCCCACTGACTGCCTCGGAAAAGACGCCAAGCTAGACTGATACCACCTGCGAATAGTCGACCTTTCGAAAGCCGTTTAAACTCCGTAGAGAGCTCGCACGTTATGCACCAATGTTATAACACCTCGGCTACAACACCATCAAGGATCGCGTTTCGGTCAATCTTTCAAAGCACTCCGTGCTGCTGTTCGTGTCTATTGCTGACAGTTTCACAGTTATCTCGGTGGTATAAGCTGTCAACATTTCCTGGTCATGGCATCAAGTGACATGGCTGACATCCCCAGAAGTTGTTGACACTCGTCAACATCAGTATCAACCGAAATTCATTACACAGTTCAAATGACGACATAGACTTTGCGAAATGCATTCGGAATTACTCGTTCAAATGAAAAATAATATTGAGCGGCTGATGGAAAATAGATTTTATTGCCCCACTGAGAATACATCCTAATGACCTCATTGATGAATATCGCTTCCTCGATAAATTGGCCCCAAGTGCAATTGAAAAGTGATTTCGTGATGCCATGCGAAGCTTGCACGATCACGTTACTCGAGCAATCCGCAGGCACTTATTTTTCCGTGTCTACCCCATTCGATAATCTCGCCGATTCTCGCGTGGTATTATCCTGTCAAGAAGTGGCAATTGGCTATTTTTTGGTGAACCAGAGTGATGGACGGTGTATTCGATTTTTTCAAAATATATCATATTCTCACGAGTCAGTCACGAGAAGCTACTCATCAAAACAAATGCTCTTTTCATTATCCTTTTATGTCTTCTATTTCGAACGAGAGAAACTCTAACAAATTAATCATTATAAAATATATAATATAAAAATCCTAACTAACAACTCGAAATAAGCGATAAAATGAGGAGGAGGTATCGCGTGTGTGAATACACCCGAAACAGCTATTAAAACTCGGATACTTGTGTTTGATAACGCTTTCTGCCCGCTACCAAATTGAGGAAAAAAAAAAGTGTGTCTGGAATGTTATTTTTACAGGAAGAAATCACGATATTATTGATGGTTCGGTTAAACTACTATTTCGGCAAGAATTTTTGGAATATATCTCGCGTGTAGAGGAATTAGATCACGAGTAAACGATTAATTTGTTAAATGGATGAAATGGGAGTAACGCAGGTTTCGTGATGGGTTGTGTATTAATACCGGTATTAAGACGAATCCATAATACGTAATACATCATGAAAGGTGAACCGAAGCCTGAAAATATCCTTTGTACAGCATTGGTGAAATAAAACAATAATGCAGCTTGGATCTCGTGACTGCAAGGATAAACCAATCTGAACGTTAGATTTTCGTGTTGTCACAAGCGCGAGAATAACATTTTCCGTGTATCACATTGCCACACATTGCCGCCTCATAAAAATATGAAATTCCATGCACGTAAGTATCGTGGAAATTTATGTATGATTTTTCATGTTGAGTATTTCATGATTGAATGTACATACCAGAGTCAGCGTCCGACATATCGAATCTCCACTAAATCCAGTAAACCAACTACGTAACTTGGGGAACGTTCAACTTGGCGACACTTTGGTTGTACTCTTTTGCCTTACCCTCAACTTGGTGTCCGTTTCCCAGGGTTTGTTGAATCAATATATGTATGTTTGTGTCAGAATCGGGCCAGTCCCACCGCAAATTATATTCCAATAGCATGAATAAACTTTCAGCGAGTAAACAAGTTGAAAAAGTACAACAAAGTTCTTGCTAAATTCAATTCGTTGAATCTTTTCATATCATTTCATTCGATGGAAAACAAAGGAGATCTCGAAATATCTCGAAATTCTGGAAATATGTTGAATGAGCGTAAGGGTAAGGATGAGCCCCGTAAGACGAAACCGACGCGTGGTGCGGAGCACGCGCGGGACCATCTAATAAAAGAGCTAGCATCGAGTGTCTGTAGGGACAGGATAAAAGACCTGACCTTACCCAGTTATCTCAAAGCCTTACCTGGGGACACGAAAAACCTTTCCCCCCTTACATACATCAATATTCAGTTGTATTTTTTTTTCTTTTTTATACCACCGGAACGCCTTAACCATCTGCTAAACAGTTTAACGCAGGGATAACAACAATAAAACCCTTTCCATGCTGGTTTTCCATTTTTTATTATCTATCATACATCTTCAACGAACACATGACTTCCACCGGGTGGTCTTGCGCCCTCATGAGAAAGAGTGTTCCCCAAATTATCGTACCCCAAGATCACTCTTCCATATTTCATTTTTCTTTACCTGTATTAGTTCCATTCGATTACGGTACAATATCACGATGAGTTCAACAATACCCTAAAATTATTGGAATTGAATATTTGTCAAATACAAATTATTGATCTGTTTTTGCTGTGTGAGAAAAACAAGATAAAAAATAAGCCATTCGATTGTAAAAAAAAAAATTGACATGGGGAAATAGATGACTGAATGAAAATGTTGGAGCAATTTTTCACTGGCGGATTGAGAGAATTTTCACGCGATGATAATGGCGTTGGTTGCAGCGAGCATCCCCTCTGTTGCCTTTGGTTATCACCCTCGGAGAAACCGCGCTTGCGTCCATTAGCTCACCCCCGAGTGACTCCAATTCTTGAGTATTTTAAAAATATATTTTCCACCCCCATCGGCGGATCCCTTCACAGTGTCGAGTTTGCGCATTTGACGGGGTGGAAAAACCCCTTGGTCTCACCCAAGAGAAGGGAGGTTTTGAGGTTGAGTGGTTGAACCGGCGCAATAGCTCCTACTGGGTGCAGCCGCCCGGTCTTTCAGCTCGACTATCGCCAGTTTAGTTACCGCACCACATAAGGCATTGCGTTGTAGACACCGTTACCCGCAATATTATTACCTTTATTCATTAATTAATCAATCCGTTCTGTCGTTTGTTCAACCTATTCCTCCATATTTATTACACGTATATACATATGTTTATGTATCTGTATACACTGTATTCGGGATTACATATTGATAAGAGGAGCGAGTAACGTTTCGTCATTTCGTCTTTTGCCTCCTTTCTATCGCGAGTTTTATTGGAAATTACGTTCTCCTGGGTCCCTCCACTCCTATAGAATATTTCCTCTGACCTCTTTACCGTAAAAAAAAAAAAATCATCATTCTTACCCCGTTCTCTCTGCCCCTACTTGATTCAAACAGAAACACGCTCAAAACTGTGTTATATTCATCATTTAAAAACCGTATCACGCCGCTCGTGAATTTTTATAAAAAAAAAATCATAATAATTCTCCTTGAATTCTTCAACGGGAACAACAAGGAGAATAATACTGCGCACAAATGTAGTTATGGTGCTAGCTATCATATAGCTTTATAAATTAAAAAACAGTTTGCTCGCCAGGGCATACGTCAACTGGAAGATTTTGTGGTGGCATTTCGATACTCTTAATATGAGCAATTAATTTATCAACTTGACCAGTCTTTCCAATTAGTCTCATATCAATCGTTCTCGGCGTGAGACGAAATCCAGTAATTATTAGACTTTTTATTAGAAAATTGAGAGAAAAAAGAAAAAAAGCCGCTAAAAAAAAAACTAGTAAATACCCATCACTGCGTTCCGTTCTACGCTAGTTCAGCATCCTCCAACCACTGATTTTCATCGTTAACCGGTATGTTCATTTATTTCTTTACTTTGTGTTCTGTATCTGCCTGATGAATTTTATATTTCTTAATTATCCTTATTATTATTACAATTATCAATTCAACTGATATGTTTTATATTTTCTATTATATGATTATGTACCAATTGAGTTGATTAATTTGATTATGAATGATCCCAAAGGTTTTTGGGAGTTCATCAACGCATTATACGAGCCTTGGTTATGTTGACCCTTCTGTATAATGGCTTAACCAAGCGTCGCTGATGCCTCCAACATCGATAAGCAGGGCTGACATCCAGGGTTCCAATATAAAGAGTTCATTATAAAGTGAATGTGCCTCTCAATTGGCCAATAGATAAATTTACAGGACCTGGATGTCAATTTTTTTTTCACCAGACACCCTGGCAAATTGCACAACTCCACATTAATTGCTAATTTATGAATTAAAAATTTCCGATTCCTTTAACGTGAGAATAATTCGATAAATTTTTCGAAAAATCATTATTTGTTATGAGCCAGGGTGTGGCTTCTCGTTGAACGCACAGCGACGACGCCGACTCCGATGTTGACGGAAGACCCCACCGTGACCCCATCGGCGCCACCCCCATTACTACAACCCTCTAGAAAAATGGCATTTATATTAAAATTGCTTGTTATTGTAAATTCTTATCGGAAACAACTCACTGGTGAAAAGACGGCACAGAGATGACGGCATTGTGCAATAGTGCATCCGCGATAATAAAAGAGAATGAAAATTTAAAAGGAAGAGAAGTGAAAAACACTATTTTGACGATTCATCGGAGTCGGCATCACATCTTCTCCCCGTTTTTCCTTCCCAAAAAATCCCGTATTGTCTCAATGGCGATGGTGGGTATGCCGGGTGAGGGGTGCGAACGATCAAGAACCGAAAGTAAAAAAAAAAAAGAGATGAAAGAAAAATTAAAAAAAGGAAACAAAGATACCGACGTAAGTAGTACATCGCATAACCTGCCTTGTGTTTTTTCTGACACCCTCTTCAACATTTCATGTGACTTGCATGCTACGAAAATTGAGAGAAAATCAATGATTGAAAATTTTTCAGTGTTTACTTTGGCTGCTGATAACATGACAAATGCGTTTTCGCGGGGTTGAATAATTAATCCTCACCCTGAACCCCTACATGAAAGTTGCATTGTTTGCGGGGTTTGAATACGGCGGAAGAGCAAAGAGTAGGTGGAATTGTTGGGGAGAGGATAGTCGATTGCTCGAGACTCGGAACCGCTGTGTATTGATCGTTTTCTGGGTCCATGTGTCGCGCGTGCGTGCAGTTTGGGGGTGAACCTGCGAGGGCGAGTGGAATTAAACCAGCCAAGGGGAGGAATAGGGAACAACGAGACTTGGGGTTCATATACCCCTGGGTGAGTTGCAACGCCAACGGTATTTTCAACCCCAGCTCAGAGGGGTGGACAATCAATGGAGCCCCGTCCAACATACACATCTTCGTCTATATGCATATCACCACTTTCTCCATCTTCCATTATTCTACACTGAAAAAAACTACTTTCTATCCAATAAGATTATGTATATAACGCGACTCTTCCAAATACACATATATGCTATTTGCAATTACATTTTTTATTCAGTGTACTATCTCGCTTTACTTTGTACTTCAATAGGATTTCCTGTGATACATGCTTGGCATGCATGCATACTCCATGTTATTCATCAACTTCCTCCAACGTATCCACTCCTCGTAATATTTTTATCATCTGATCAAGTAGTTTAGTAAAAATTCGATTGTTCATCGCCTACCAAGGCGACTAGGTCCCAGAGGCATTTCAACAACTCAAATTCACGTTGTAAAATTTTCTTTTTTCCTGGGATCTATCAGAAATGTGTTCGACATCATAACAAATGGCAAGTGTTTCACAATATGCGGGGGGCGTTACAAAATAACATATGACGTTGAAAACCCACTCGAGGGAACAATTTTTAACTCTCAACTGTCGACTGTATTTCACATCGTTCGCTCCCTCATTACCCCTAATTTCCCGATAATTCACAATCCATTGAGTGAAACAAATAGCAGGAGTGCTTGTAAAAAAAGGCATCTTCTCGTAGGACTGTATATGACTGGTCCGAATACGAATTTTCAAATCTGTATCAGTGAGAAGCTATCCGACACGACTTCACCTGACCACAAAACTCGATGTATATTTATACTGTTTATACGGGTACGTATTTATAATTCCGTCGAGGATAGTATGCGTTCGCTCAAACATGTATGTCCAAAGAAACGAAATATTTGAGTCTTTGTCAACTCGGGGGAATTCTAAAATGAGGGCTGGACCAGTCTCAAGCTATTCGCACTTGCAATGAGGAACTCCAGTTCGTGTTTATTTCCTCAACCCGGAAATAATCTCTCTAATCCCATCCCCCAAACAATCCATGTTTTCAATTCATTATTGTTTCTTTGGTACGGTAAGGTGGGATAGGCTGAATTTGAATTCTAGGAGGAGTTACTCATGTGGCTTGGCTGTGTTGTATTGGCTTCGGAGCCAATTCTTACTCTGTTTATTTCATCAGACGCCTATAATTTCCACATCACATCTTATTCGCAATGGATTCGGGTATTTCATTATTTATCCCGTAGCGCAGAGTCGTCCATAAGGTCATCTTAGACAATACCTTCCATAATAAATTAGTAATAATAAAAGCATTATAAACGTAGCAGAATAATAAATCAAACCTTATGATAGGCGAGAAGGTTACGGTTACGGGATGTATAGATTTGTATGTGTCCAGGGCCGATCGATCGGCGCAGACTTGCGTTTGCCCTTTGAAAGCCTCACCCTGGGTTATCATCAAACGCTCCAAATTATTGCTGAAAACTGCACAATGAAAAATAATCTGATAAACGATGAGAGATTGAGTGATGAACTTGAAATGCTAACCCGGAGTAAATGTTGTTGACTGAGGAGTGGGATGGGGGGTTCGGGGTGTAGCAAGCAAAATGTGGCGATAGAAACAATCCAATAGAAATATACAAAACCGTAGGTAAATGTGAGTCAGGATGAGTGAGAGAGCGATAAAGGAGAACAAAAGGGAAAAGGAGGGAAAATGAGTGAAAATAAAGCGTTGGTTTGGTATTTGGTTGGCGGGGGAGCTGTTGCTCGTAGGGGCGAACTGTCTTGTGTCTACTATGGTACACAAATTGTAATAGTGGGAGGGGAGTTGAAGAGCCGAATAGTGACGAAATAAGCCGACTGATGGTTCGTGATGGTTGGTGGAAATGGGTTGGGGCGGTGGGGAGGCTAAAGAGGGGTTGGCAATGTTGGCATCACTCAAGGCGGAGAAAGGGGAGGGGTGAGGGGCGACATGAGGATCGACGCTGTGCGAAAAGCCTCGGTGTAGTGTCTCATATCGTGTTATTCGGTTTCAGTCTGTAGGCAGCCTCCGCCCGTAACGCTGTTTCTTTGTTTCCTTAGTCTAGTTACCATTCTTTATTTCAAACACGCCTGTCAGACGCGTGTCACACGTCACCGGTCCATTACAATCAACAACCGCAAGTTTCAATAGTTGTCGGGCCAAGTGCGTTGCTTTCATTCAATAATACTGATAAAACTGCATCGATGCAACAACAGCATGGAGTACGGAGCCAGATGACGGGCGTCTTTAGTTTCCATTTTCATTGACTAGTCCGTACTATTTCTACCCTCAACGAAAAAGCATTATTCGCCAAGTGATATCAATAAATTAAAATTAATCATCAATGTGATATATGTGCGCGTCTATGTATTAATGCTGATTTACCGCTGGTACCGTAGTTCACTTCTATTGATTTTTTACTTTCGTTTCGGGCGGTGGTGAGAGGACGTGATACAGTCATATTGTTAGCGCCCGCGTCGTCAATATTATCCGAGGGTGATATTTTTTCTTTTAATGAAAATTATCAACGAATTACTCAAATTGACTATTGAAAGATTGTGTAATAAATATAGAAAAAAATCAAAATCATATATCTGATTGATTTTTCACTTGGTGAGTGATTGGAGTGAGCTGTGATTGAGAGGTAAGATTTTGCTTTGATTGCTCCGGAGAGGTACTCTCTCCCTTACCTTGTGATACCTCATTTTATGGAGCACGTGTCTTCTCCTGTGATGATTAGACGTTTGGTTATCTACTCTAAGGGCAAATAATGTCGTGGAAAATTCACGTGTAGTTAAGTTACGCGTATGTGGGAGATTGCGTGTATTAGTGTGACTAAACCGGCATGGACGTCATTCGAAGTTTGGGGCACGAGAGCGTGCGTGGTTACTCCTGTGGTGTGCGGAAAGGGGCGTAAGAACCAAGAGGGGTTTCCCTTTGGCAAATGCCTTGTGAGGGATAGAGAGAAAAAATATATATATAGAGAGAGAAAAGTATATGGAGTAGTGGGGGAAGGGCGCACAGGGTATTGATCGTTCGCTGCCGCGCGATTTTCATGATGTGTCGCCATGACCACCTGGCCAACCTCGAAAGATCCTATCTTACTTTCACACTTCCTGCCAAAACTTTAAACTACTATAATGTTCAACGCCTGCGCTTCTACGGGGGGGGGGGGAAGTCATAAATCATGTACCCTTTTTATCAGCAAAATTACTTATTAATTTATCGGTGAGATGTTGGTTGATGTCTATAATGAATGATTCATTATGAGTTGGAGGGAGTAATTATTTGAGGGCAATAACTCGTCTCATTATATTGATCTCGTGCTGACATGTCGGTGTAATTGGAGTTTGATGATGGCTTGGCAACTCTTCGATGGGATTACCGCGGTGGATTTGTCGATGAAGCCAAATACTCTATGTCAGCTAGACTGTACTGTGCCTCGGATCGATAAGCCCCGCGAGTTCTTTCTGCAATTCTATCAGTGAATTCAGTGCTGTATCGTAGATGCATCTCTCATTTTATCATGACACTCTTATTTTTATTATTATTACCTAGGGATTATTACCAGAAATGATGAAAAAATAATGCAACCAGTTCATTTTATTGATTAATCATTGAAGTATTGAGAGTAGGCCGGTAGGGTATATTTGTAATACCAGTTCATCATTTTAATTATAAATCTACCTGGTTATGCCCCTATGCATATATTTTTTTTCTTTTTCATTCGTTTGATAGGTTTTACAATACTTCAGAAATTACAGAAGTCATTATAAAGATGCCAGACCCTCGCCACTCGAGCTTTCACAATTTTTTTCATACTCAGAAAATATGTTACAATAAATATAATAGATGAGGCGGTATAAACGACCGACCACCATGTGACTGATACGGGGATTAACCTGGAACAAAAAGGTGTCCATATGGGGACAGCTGATGCGTACACGTCAATAGAATGAGAAACGTAGACACGAGCGAGTGGGCATGGAAAAAAAAAAGTAGAGGGAACTCCGGGAAAAAAGAAATTAGAACGTATATAAGGCGAGGGCTCGTGGCCCGTGGCTGATATATGAGGCAGCTGTGTATGTGCCACGACCTACCCGGGACTATGTTTCCTCCTTTGGCCCCCCTTACTAAACCACCCTAGCTAGACACCCCCAAATTCACCCCTCCATTTATATCTTCTTCCTACCTTGTACATACCCCTCTTATGAGTAGTTTTGGAAACGGTATATAGCGAGGGGGGCTGTGAGCCCCACTCCCTTAGGACCATTTTAAATGGCTGCGGGGTTCGTCGCCCCTTTAAACTCACACGATATCATAGGAGGGTCAGTGACTCTCAATTGTTTTTCTTCCCGCCGTTATTGAATTATTTGACAATTTCAATAGTGAGTTAACACTTGACAAGAGAATTTGATTTTCACATCTGTGTAAAACATGTGTGGTCATTATATTTTATTTTTTGTCAAAACTTGCTTATTGGAAATGGTATATTGGTATATTGATATATTCGTTTGGAAGGATTAGGGGATTTCTTTGAAGAGAAGCAAAAGCATCGATTAATTGGTAGTGGAATAAATTTATTATAAAAGAGTAATAATGGGAGTGAAAAAGTTTCAAGGGCACGTTACGTTGGCAGTCACTGACCCAGGGCTTTGGGATTTTCTTGACAATGGGGGATTGAGCCAGTGCGTGAGGGGGAGAGCATTACTTCTGGCAGCGTCATGCGAAAATTCCCCCTCTATAACTCTGATCTGTGAGGGTAGTTGGCATTCACTTTTTTATCTCTGGCGTAACGAAAGTGGTTATGTCAGAGCTCGGGGAAAAGTTAAGAACATCTTCCAATATTTGATTTGGCTGTACTGCACCCCTTTGTATTTCAACTTGACGCATTCAACTCGGTGAACATGAATGTGAAATGGGAAAATCCAATTGAAATTGCGCTAATTATTTTTTCATCAGTCGACACGACATTCATTGATTAACCCTGGGAATTGATTAAATCAATGGACTCGAATGAGATTGTATTTTTTCAAACATTATAGCCAGTGTATGAGTCTTACTATGGCTTTACGCAGGAATAGAATGCGCTCTATTATTAGAAGTATTAGAATTAGATAGTTGTGTGTATAGTGTACTTCCACGTACATTTCACGAGATGGAAACTGCTGGTAAACTTCACATGAATTTCTATAGTCACATTATTCATTTCTCACCTTAGGTCATGAGCTCACTTTTTTAGACTGAACTTTCGAGGCTCTTGACTCTTCACCACCCCCTCCCCCCACCCCATTCTACGTAACTCGATTCTGCGGATTAATATTTTTGGTCCATTATGTTGTGTGTTTTCAGATTTCGTACGTAGTTAGACGGAGATTGTCAAAACGAGTGCAATGATGGCGAATGGAATGGATACGGTTGTGCAACAGAATGGTGGCTCAAATCTCGGCCAAACCTCCCAGGAGGAGTCAAAGACGAATCTCATCGTCAATTATCTGCCACAAACTATGACCCAAGAGGAGATACGCTCACTATTTTCGAGTATTGGAGAGGTGGAAAGCTGTAAGCTCATTCGTGACAAAGTAACCGGTGAGTTTTTTCATGTCTCCCTACCACTTGATATCAAAAGAGTCCATTATTTTCATGTCCTTTATCTCCATGTGAGCCACCATGTTATGAAAAGAGGTTCATTTTCAACTCGAGATTAGTTGGTACGCCGTTCTGCCAATCATGAGCAGACTTTAGCGCAAACGAGCAAGCGCTCCATATTCTCCGGAGCATCGCATCACTGAAGCTTGAAATTACTGTTCTCTCTTGTCAAAATGTCATTAAATGTAACGTGACATTTTTAATCAGAATAAATTAGGCGGTTCGCCGGGAATTCGAGAGGATTTTTTTTCTTTCAATACAAGCAGCCGACATTAGGAACTGCTCGGAGTACTTCAATATTTTTTGCACATTCCGTAATCCCCCTGAAAATGTCAGCCAATGGAATTTTAATACAGACACTTGGTTCTGTTTACAAATATTCTCCTTGGTTAATCGTCTCGACAGTTCTGTTTACATGCCATTTGTTTGACCAATCGTGCTGTTCAAGTGTATCATTTTTTTTTTTTTTTTTTGTCATTTCCCCTTAAATTCCTATCTTCTTTTGGGCCAGTTGTTCTTTTCCTCCATCTTCGTTCAATGCGTGATATTTCTGTATTGTCCTCGACCCTCCACAAATACATCAGACTTAATCGATCGTTTCGATTTATAAATACTAAGAGACCTTTAGCAATATTTGATTATTCAAGTTGTGATCTTTGGGGTTCTTTATTTGATTGGCAAATAATTTTAATGAAATTCATTGGCGCGGCCTCTCATCTGGTGGTTTATTGTGTTAGTTTAATTTTCATAAACGCATCACTCCATTTCCATAACTGTAACTTAATTCTTCTCCTTTAAAAAAGAAGCGTATTGACACATTTTTTATATCTGTTTTCCTTTTTTTTCTCAATCAATATAGAGGTCACCACAGCTTTGTCGGTTGCCGGAGATTCGTTATCCCCGGGGCAATTTTCTTTTGGTAAGGATAAACATTTTTTTTTAATCACCGGACAATCCAAATTATTTTTGCTACCTCTTCATGTTATTTTAATTTCTAAACAACACGAATGTAATGGATTTTATAAAAAATGATGTTGAACCTCTACTGAGGTTGGTCGATAGAATTTTGCAAATTTATAGCGACTGATTATTCGAAATTTCTGACATTATAAGATTAATACCTTTGCGACGAAATTCCGGCATATCCGCAAAGCCAGCTAGGTCGTTAAATTACCGCACCCCGTCACGTCCGTCGGTTTTTCATTTAGACTATAAGCGTGGAAGAAAGAGAAAAAGCACCACACACTGATTTTTATTAATCTTTGAATGTGTGGCTCTGTAGGTGTGTATCTGTGCTTATGCTTGTGAACACAGCTCTATTTTCGTCATAAAGACGCGGGGGCGTTGAATTTGAAGCCTTCCTGCTTTATAGTTGCTCTGTAATGATAATGCTGGGCTCATTTCCCCCTCAAAACTTCATTATCCATTACCATTTCAGCTACCTAGGGATTAATTAGAGGCTATTACTTCCATAAGATTCACACAATTTTCCAATTCTATTTTAATACTATTGCGTAAATGTGATTCTATGTGATTATATGCCAAACGTGATTCTAGAATTTTTATCAATCTGTCAAGCTCACTCGGCGCCTCAGCATCTTCGTTTAATAATCTATATCTCATACCGTTATATTTACATAATATTAATTCACGTTCCATACGCCATAATTACGTGCAAATCGTTTTAATGAATAATTTTTTTGGTGGAAGATGTGACAGATTCTTGTGGCATTTCAGGCCAAAGCCTTGGCTACGGCTTCGTCAACTACCAACGACCTGAGGATGCTGAAAAAGCTATCAACACCCTCAACGGTCTTCGACTACAAAATAAAACGATCAAGGCAAGCTTCACACTATATAATAACAATAATCCATGGCAATACCATGAAATATTCTCTGACCATTAATTATAAAATAGGTTTCCTACGCAAGACCCAGCAGTGAAGCGATAAAGGGAGCCAATCTATACGTCAGTGGATTGCCGAAAAATATGACACAGCAGGACCTTGAAAATCTTTTCAGTCCATATGGAAGGATCATCACGTCACGAATCCTCTGTGACAACATCACGGGTAAGTCTATGTTCCGGTTACCTCTTGAATTTTGAAGATGGACAAAAATGGCGCGAGGCTCTAGGCTACAATAAAAAGTTAATTCTACTTTCTCAATGTCAAGACCTCATTTTTCCTCGATGAAAGGCTATCAACGAAAAGACTCGTCTTTTGTTGAAGAGAAACACCTCTGGGTGGTAGGTAAGGCGTATGCGGACATCAAGATGGGAGGGGTGGATCGGTGCGCCTCTCATTTTCAATCGAGTTAATCCCCCATCTCAGTGCCAAATAATCGTCAATTACATATTTATCATTCGGGTTTATTCAGTTATTATTTATTAATTATGGTTTTCTCAACTGAGACACGAGTGTACACTGTTCCCTGTTAAAATTTCGACTACTAATTCTCGAATTTATGCCCATTTGTATTTGTTTCATCAATAATTTCCTAAAGAACACAGCCTGATTTCGGTTCCATTCGAAAATCAATGATTTTCCAGCGATTGCAAGTCCACTCAATACAACGAGCATATTATTTGGATTGGCGATGACTACTATAATTGTTTGGCAATTTTTCCATTCCCACATATTTTCCATTGTATAAATTTATGTTTAAGGACAAACAATAGTTTTAATTTATTCATTATACGAACATCAAAATTACGACCAAAAAATCGCCTCTGATTCTCGGCTCCTCGGTTTTTTCCTGCATTTTTTTTACTCTATCGATTTTTTTTTAATTCAAATAAATAACACGCAGCTTGTCCTATTACACTATTCCACTGAACTATTAACAAACTTTGAGAGCATCGAATCAGAGACGAACACACGCATCCTCGTTGTTTCGATAATTTTAACGAGAATATGATTTTTTTCGTTTCTGTTTAGTACGACAGTTTGTGACTGGCGGCGGAGACAATTTGCCCGGTACGTAAATCAATGATTCTTTTCCTCTCTTTTTCACCCTAGCTAAAAAAAAAGGAACCTATGTTTGGGCTGGTTATTTTTATTTTTTTTTTTTCAATGACGCGTCAAGAAAAGTTCAAACATGCCCAGTAACTAATCATACACGCACATTCAGAACGATTACGCTCTCACCCATGAAATCCTCGACATTCTCATCGAATAACTGATGGAAACCAAACTTTAACTACACATGAAAATCCCTTTGCTACCCGATTCCACTGTTGATTGATTATTCTTAATCTAGATTTATGTTAATTGTCGTTGAATTATTTTCACCCCATCGGGCATCGATACGTTATTTTATCACTTATAATAATTTTTGCTGCCAATGAATAACCCAATAACACACAAAATTATTTCCATCTCTTATGTATAATTTGAGATCGGAAACATTGCGCGCACCGAGCCACTCGCTCGGACACCCTATCGTCGTGTCCTCACTGTTTCATCAATAATAATTCCAATCCGTCAATTAAACAACTCGGATTTAGCGGCAATATCGTCATTTTTAGTCGATTAATTAGCGTATTGTCGTGAAAGTTGGTAGACTGCTTTTACTCTACGAAAATGATAGTCAATATGCAGGGTTAATAGCCGGAGATAATTGTAATGCGAGAATGAGAAAATGAGGGAAAGATTACGATACCTTAGAAAGTGTCAGGAAGCCCGATGAATCTCAATGTCTCCCCGTTGTCTCATCTGCAGTTGGCTATCATTATACTTTACATCTGTGGACCTCTGCTGAAAAAAAAAATTGAATAATCCACCAATTTTTTTTCAACAGAAGAACTGAGCATTATACAGTTATATGAGTGTACCAATTTTCACATAAACTCTTGTTAAAAGTCATCGAGAGTAACGGATATCGAGCTTTTTCCATATTGAAAAAAGATAAATACTGAAGTAATTGAAAACAAGACAAATTGCTTGTCTTTCGTCTTCCCTCGTGAAAAATTCATATCGTACAATAAAAAAATTCAGAATAAATTGTCGGTTTAAAAAAAAAAAAGAAGAGGATAAAAATGGAAAAAGAGTGAGCTGAACTAATTAGAACTCGCTTCCGCCACCCTCATCTTAAATATGTCCGTCTCGATTGTTTTCCGCGGGATGAACTTGGCAGGACTGTCAAAAGGTGTCGGATTCATTCGATTCGATCAACGTGTGGAAGCTGAACGTGCCATCCAGGAGCTGAATGGAACCATACCGAAGGGCTCGTCTGAACCAATCACCGTGAAATTTGCCAACAACCCGAGCAACAACAACAAGGCGATACCACCAATAGCAGCATACTTGGCACCACAAGCGAGTCGTCGATTTGGCGGCCCCATCCACCATCCAACCGGCCGCTTCAGGTACATTCCACTGTCGCCACTATCCAGGTACCTACTCGCCTCTACTCGCTCTACCCAAGAAAAAAAAAATATTATTTTCCTTCAGAGAGAATAATAATGCAATCTATGGAGACTAAATTCTCATTGTTTTTGTTGGATCTTAATTTAGAGAGGTCCTGTGTTCCCTAGAGACTGTTAAAGCTTGCTCGTCTGCTCAGTGACAACTGCTAATTGACATCACCTCATCTTTCCCAGCGAGTTTAAATAATCTTTCGATCTCTGCTTCATTTCTCCAACCAAATCATACTTTTTTATTCACTATAATAAAATAATAATGACAATAACTTTTATAATTCAACATCATTGAATTTCATATCTTCTCCGTGAATTCAACGTGCATCTTCAAATATATTTTTTTATTTTATTTTGCATAGAATTGAATTTTTCTTCTTTTCGATTATTCATTTATTCTACGAGACCGGAAAAAAGAGAGAATTCCACTTTTTCACATGAGCATCTATGGCAATGCAATATCAATCGTACCATCGTGCAAATATTGTCGAAAGACCAATCTCTGACGCAGACGAGCGAAAGCTTTTCCATATGACAGGATATTTTTGCGTACGAGCGATCATCCTGAAAACACACTCATTAGAAAATTTTGCAAAATCACTTGAAACACACTTTGCACATCATAAAATTATTTAATTTGAAAAATTGTTGGTCCATAAAAATTCATCATTCAATGGTATCGTTCACGGTACAAATTTGGGGGAAAAATTATATTCTCTGCGCATTTTTTTTTCTTTCCATCACAAATCCTCTCCATCCACACTCGTCCGCTTATTCATAAATCCCAGCTAACAGCGAGTATGAAGAAAATATATGAGGCATTGTAGTTGAACGAAGTTTGCTTCATCTTTTTTCTTTCCGGCCCGGCTTTTAATCATATGATTTATTCTCTTATGTTTTTCTTTTTTCTTTTTTGTTTTAGCACTGGCAAGGCCATGCTTGCCATTAACAAAGGCTTACAGAGGTCAGTATTTTTTTTTGTTATACTATTTTCTCATGCGTTCATAGGCTTCCTCCACCCTCTCATTGCTGTATTCCCGATTACTGTGGCTTCTCTTGCTTCCCAATTTTTTTTCTTTCCATTTTCATGATTTTCTGTAGTCATTCATCTGAATTTCAATCTTCATTAAATTTCTCCAATAAATTTGCTCTCTCCGTTTTTTTTTTTGAGAGAGAGAGAGAGAGAGCGAATTATGACATATTACAAACGCGCAGTCCGTATCATTTACAAATTCAATATTGAATATTAAAATAACATAACACGGACATACACTACCATCAGTCTCTATCATCTCGTGCCTTGTACGAAGAATAATGACTTTAATATAAAAATAAGCCATCACACTTGTGAATTGTACTGAGTACTTACCAATATGTGCCCTCTTTTAACGCGGCTTGTGACGTCAAGTAGGTACGTAAAATAAATCCACGGTGAATCTTAGCCTGCATGCCACGTAATAATAGCATTCAATACCATTAAACCAAAAAAAAAATTGTGTAATATTGGCATAATTCACCTGACAAATTCTCACTGCTTTAATCACGAGTTTTTTGGCTTGAACTCTTGTGAATTTCGAAACGTACTTTCATAAACGTCAAGGAAATATTCAAGGGGCAGTGAATGCTAAAAATAATCGTTTGCAGAAGACAGTCGGATGAATTTCAGTGAGTTTTGTGCCTGGTTGCTACACGTATTTCCGGATTCCTCAGGTTCCTTGTCAATTTGCACAGCAATAAAAATTAATGAAAAGAGTCGAAATAAAAATGAAAAGCCTCTATTTCTGTTAAAATATCTCGTTAAAATATCACAGGAGGCAATAAAATTCAAGTTAGCATAATGTGAAATGTTGGAAAATTGTTGCAGGTACAGTCCCCTGGCAGGAGACTTGCTGGCAAATTCAATGCTGCCGGGTAATGCCATGAACGGAAGTGGCTGGTGCATCTTCGTGTACAATCTTGCTCCTGAAACAGAGGAGAATGTGCTGTGGCAATTGTTTGGTCCATTCGGTGCTGTTCAATCGGTCAAAGTTATTCGCGATCTCCAGACCAATAAGTGCAAAGGCTTTGGCTTCGTCACAATGACGAATTATGAGGAGGCGGTCGTTGCAATACAAAGTTTGAATGGCTATAATCTTGGCACACGAGTACTTCAGGTCAGTTTCAAGACGAATAAGAGCAAGGCAGCGTAGGACACGGATGAGCATCACACAACAGCTGCTGTCACAGACGATGATCTGTGGCGGCGTCTTGCCGTTGTCAAAGACTACTGGGACGAAATGGCAGTTCTCATAACTGGTAGAAACCACAGACGAGCAGGGGATCCTGTAACGAGGCAACGTCAGCAAATACAGCAATTGCAATTTCACCATCCAAGCCCACAGCAGTATCATCAGTTTCAGCAGCATCGTACACTTGGCTCGTTGATAAGTAAACCGATTGCGGCAGCCCACAATGCCAATAAAAGAGTCCAGCAGCAAATTATGAAAATGGATAAGACGTAGTTTGATTAAGGAACAGCAACAGCAACAACAACAACAACAACAACAAAAAAAAAACAACAACAACAACAACAACAACAACAAATATGAGTATTAGGAACGCATGATTTATGACGTCGACTGGGTGAATGGGTGGGAGAGAAAGGGAACTTGTTTGTGAGTGAGATTCGCTCGCTCATTGCTAGGATATTGAGATTTTTTTCATTCGGAAATGGGCAAGAGAGAGTGGTAAATCTGGCTCTTGCTGGACGACTCGAATGGAAATTTTTTGCTCCTCGTCGAAAATTGAAATGACATCAGTGAAATAGTGTGGGTCACTCAATTCACTTGGTGGTAGTGGGGACATGAATAATGAGCGATGAGATGAATCTGCGTGTGTGATAATATTATGCGAGACAGAGGTATTACGAAGAATGATAGATAGAAACAAAGCGTCTATTTAATCCTGTGGTTACTTGCTGCCTCCGTATTTTGTACATACATATTATGATTTATGTACATGTACCTATTGGTAAAGCAATGCATAAAGGTAAAATAATTGAGGGTCAAATAACCATAAGGTTGGAGAGATTTAACCATAAATTCAGAAGGCTGAGGATTATTGATGATGAAATGGGAAGAATTCTGTGACTCCTCTTGTAACATACTAGTATTATGTTCAGCAGAGGGCATGTGGTAAAGATATTTCTCGCACATTCTCTTTGATCGATCGATAAAAAAACTGTAAAACTAAATTTAGATAATATGACGATTTTTAATGACATCGAAGCAGAAATTTAATAGTGAAAATTAGCAAACGGAGAATTTGCCTTTTTTCCACATCCCCTCAGCCCGGACATGATAGCCCAGTTATACATACTCGTTTATGTATAAGTTTTAGAATATTGTACTTTAACATTAGGTTAAGAATGGAAAATATGAAAATATACAGAGAGAAAAAGATTGAGTGGAAGCCGAGACAAATCTAGCAAATGAAGAGAAATAATAACTAGAATCACTCCATACCGTGTGGACCAAAAAATTATCAGAATCAATCAAATATTTGTCGGAATTGAGCGAAATATTTGGCTGATTGAGAAGAAATTTTTTAGTCAATTGCAAATGAGAACGATAACGATTCACGGGGTGGTATTTTACACTCACGATATATAAAAATGCAAAAAAAAAATCTATGAATTTATTAATTAAGCGAAATGAACACAAGTTGAGGCAGATATGAAAACGAAAGCAACTTGATATACGGTTTAGATATGTTTGGGTCGGGGCTCGCACATTGATGAGCAATATGAGATGATGAACCCAGTGAGAACTATTGAGAAAAAAAGAGGGTATCTGATGGTAGCCAAGCGGCCATTAATGTACTTAATTGTAGTTGATATCGATGAGCACCGTGCATAAAAGGTCTCCATGAATTTATTTGAAAATTAACGAGGGAGATAATTCGGATAATTACGATATGCGGCAAATGAACGCGGGAAGTAGTTAAATATGGCCGTCGATAGTACGATAATGTGATACCAAAACTGAGAGGGACACACAACAAACACATACACAAAAAAGCGCACCGGTAGCAGCACGCCATTATTTCAGTTGATACCTATTCTCTTTTTTTGTGTATATCATTGTCTCAGTCCTAGTCATATTAGCTTCAGAAGGTATCTCATACAATGCCATTTAGTGCATTTAGACGTAGAATGCAGGGTCTGAGAGAAAATACGACGACGATTTAACGATTCAGGCGACACTACGATCGAGTCAATCTGTTGGCATTTCATTCAGAACACAATCCTCTAACTGCTGCTCCTTCTGCCTGTAAACTCGATTTATAATTACTCTAATAATTAATTATTTTATTCATTCAGTCTTATTTTTCATAGCATTCATATGATTAATATGTAGTGATATACTCAAGCATATATTAAAACCAATCAATTTATTATGAATTTAGGACACATCTGATGTTCCATTGATGAAATTCTTTTTTTCAATTAATAGTTATTATACAGCATAGATTTTGAACCTCATCTGTTGATAACTTATGCAATTGGTCGTATCGATCGAGGCAATCTATATATTACGAGTAAAAAAATAGAATTTAGTGGAAAAGGAAAGCGTCAATTTGATGATACTTAGGGAAAAGATATTCAATGGGTGGTGGTAGTGGTAGTAGTAGTTGAGTTGAGTTGAGTTGAGTTGACTCGATCGGGGTGACGGTCTTATTTTCTTATGAAATAAATAATGCCAAAGTCCTGTTAATTCCTCGTTTAACGCTGATAATGGGACATTAACAATGATGAAGATTGGATAGCATGGATTTTTGTTGAAAAATGGAAAAGTTACCTCTAGTCCACGTTCAGTATGACCTCGCACGAGTCTATACGATGATTAGGATAGAATTGCAGGACAATGAATATTTGGGGGTCAATGTCAATGAACATCATGACTATTGACAGTATGAAATGAGCAAACAGAGTTAAGTGTATTTTATAACGTGAGATATTGTATATCGTGTCCTATTTATGTGTACCTCTATGTGTCTAGTCCTCGAGGAACGGATCAACTCCGCCTCGGCTTAAAAACAAAACGAGAGAAAGAGAAAGAGAGTGAGAGAGAGAGAGAGAGAGAGAGCAAGAGCGAGAGCGAGAGAGAAAGCGAGAAAAAAAAAGAGAGAAAGATGAAGATTTTTTGTTTTCTTTCTCAAACGTGAGTATACATAAAATAATTCGTGCTAATCAACTATCCAAAAACAAAATACTTTTCTAATCAATTTTAATTTATTGCAGCGTCCATTATATCCATTTATCGTCGGTGTTGTTGCGTGACTAGCGTGTAGGGTATTATCCCGTTTTTTTATTTTTTTTTCTCCGTTTATTATTTCTCATTTTTACTTTTTCCTTTCATTTTATCCGCCAGACATGGGTGAGTTGTTGGACACGTATTCTCAATTATTTGATTGGCAAATGAAACCAATATTTATTGTCAGAACGCTCAGCCCAATTCTGGCACAGAATCAATATAATTACAATTACTCTTATTACTGTGACATCATTCACTATTTTTCTCCTTACCGATTATGATTATTACTATTCTTATTATATAATTATTCGTCGCCATCATTTATATTACTTTTTATGTCTATCTTTTGTCTTATAATTTAGTTCATAACACATTAGTTAAACTTAGCATCGCTTTACTCACACTTTAACAAGTTTTACACGATAAATGCATTTGACGAATTAAGATTATGAACATGAAAAACAAAAAAGCCAACAACATGATACATGCATAGTCCTAATAGAGTGCAATGCAATATATACAGTCATCAAACCACTGGTAAAAGCAAAAACAGATACTCTCTGACTAAAATGATTAACAATAATGAAATTTACGCTCGCCATAATTATTTTCTCACCATCACGTAACTACTTACTGCTACTACGCTACTACTACCACCACCGATTATTTATTTATTTATTTAATTATTATAAAATAACAAAAAAAAATTATGTTTTATTTGAGGATTAAACTGATTTGTGTTTGGTTCAATGGTCGTTGATTTCTTTTAATTTTATTTGTGTCTTCAGTTATAATTCCTGAATCCTTAGCTCCCTTACCTCCTAACATGCCACCAAATACTCCTAAATATCGCGTCCCTCGTGTTTTTCTCTCACACAGCAAATCCGTACACTCGACGTGCCTGGAGCAGGCGAATAACGCACATGTAGTATTTAACTCATTTAAGACATGGAAGCATGAATGTGATAAAATTTATGTGTGAAGACCTCGTTAAATTAATGTTTAAAGAATGTCCAAGAGGGATTTATATAGGCAGACGAGAGCGCACAAGATGGATATTTAGAATTATTAGTCTCCTTTCCAATGACGTCTTTCAATAACACGAGTATTTTCTCGTCTCGATAATGTCTTCAACTTCATTTCGACGCATCTCCCTCGAAAAATTGATAATTCAAAAGGATTGAAGCACGAGATGGGAGACTACGAATTTTCCATTTTCCCTTCAATTTTCATTTGATTATTTATTTTAAGATGCTCGTAGGGAAGGAGAATACCCAGAGTGTGAGCCCGGACCCTTGGAAAGCCCTACGCACACACATGACAATTCATTTGTACATTTACACCACATTGACAAATTATACTGACAGAAATTAATTATTAAATTATACACTGAAGACGCGCTCGCAGCTGAACGATTTTCACCGCAACATGGACATTTCCACAAGTGTGAGAAAATAGAAACACTCAAGACAGGGCAACAACGAGCTAACAAGCGCAGAACATTTAGCAGAAAATAAAAGGCAAAAAGAAAAAAAAAACAAAAACAAAAAACACTGATGATGAAATAAAAGACGAAATAAATCAAGTTAGAGTCACGCTAATCTACTTAATTAATCTATAATATTCTGATTAAATATCTGATTATTACGTTAGATATACATTATTATGTGTATTGTATTTATGTCTCCAATAATCGTTGTTAGTTGTATCGCTACGATTATTATGTCGGTTATTCGTACAAAAGAGAGAAACAATCGAATCCTCACGATGAAGTTCGACTGAGTTTTTCGAGCAGTTGTGCGCGTTTTTCTTTCCGAGTGTCAGCAAAGTGTTAGGGAATGCCACGAGAACATCAATATCGCAGTGCAGGGCGAGATTTTTTTTTTTTTAATCAATCAATGATACGATCAACTCAGTTTGAAAGCAAATGGAAAATAGAAATCCGTGAGTACACCATGTAAAACGGCGAAAATCTACAGTTATCAGATGAGGCGTGGACACGGGTTTTAGCTTATTTGTCTAAGCGCTATGATATTACATTTATTGATTATTATATTAATCATTAGACTCGTTGTATTATTGTACTACTACTAGTACTCGTGCTACACAATTACGGGGGGAGTGAAAAAGTCAAAAAAAAAAACAAAAATAGAGCCGAGGGGGGCATACACATGAAGTTTTTTTTCTTCTTTTTTTTTGTCGAACGGGCGCAGAGTGAAAGTGACAAATCTTGCACTAATTAATTCAGATGAAGAAGGATTTAACGAAATAGATACTATTATACGAAAAAATAAAGTGGGATGCCCCGTGTGGTCTTCAAGGGGCTGGAGGGTACGTGGAGTTGTTTTCAAAATCAATTGTGAATTTAGACTTTAAAACGAGTAAATCACAATGGGGTTCAGGTAAAAATTGAAATTATATTAATACAACAATGGGTATATATTCAATTTTTGACTTTATATGCGATCGCGAATATTTCCTACCTGTTTTTGGGAGGAATGGAAATGGTGCTGTAGACAGATTCATTTTTCCCTTTGGTATTTTGAATCTATGTCGACGTGAGAAAAAAAAAAACAGATTAATTCCAAATACTTGTAAAAAAAATGAAATGAAAAACGATAATTAAGAGAATTAAAGTACTAAAAACCGAAGGATAAAATGAGGAGCGATAAGAAGCGAGACGTAACGAGATTTAAAGTAACATTCAAGTGCATGACTACGGTTTATTATAACTTTTTATAATGTGATGATGCAATGTTGAAAATACGAAGTTAAAATCACGGCATGACAGCTCTAGCTCACTGTAGGCCTAATTAAATGATGAGATGTGAAGAAAAAAGGAGAAAAAATGCTATACATATTGTTCTCTAAATTTATCAGTGTGAGGGTGACGATGGACAATTAAATTTGCAATGTTGATATTGCAAAGAGTAAAATGAAAAACCAAAAAAAAAAAAAAAAGAAAGAAATTGCAGAAAGAGGGTGCGAAATTGCATGAATGGCTGTAATTGAATGAGAGTGGGGAGAAAGAACGGGAGATATACTCAAAATATCGAAAATTAACTCCGATGCGAGTCACAACGATGAAAATACAAGCAACAACAAAAAAACCTTACAGCAAGACTCTTATTCCTCAAAACTAAACTGACAAAACAACAGGAAAACGCAAAATAAAAGAACATTGATAGATTTAATTGAAGAGAAACGTGAAAAATATTCTATAATCTTCTGTACATGTTTTAATTATTCCAATTATTAATTATTATCATACTTATAATGAGCTATTAATTAACGGATGAATTAATTGAATATCTATGAAAAAAAAAAACTATATTTAAACGAAAAAACGTGGTAGCTAGTCTGTCAATGGGTGTATAAAAATATTTAATTCCAATGTATCCTTAATAGTTTGACACGTGCGTCGGGGCGCGACTACGGTTTTTCGGGGCGATTTTACATTGAATAATGCAAGAGCAAAAGACATGTTGAAATGAATATATGAAAACACGTAGACTCGATGACTTCCGATTAATCAGCCCATTACGTTTATTCGACTGTCGCTCCAACTTTTCCTTTTTATTTCAAAGTCGTGAGTAAGCTCATCCCTTTAATACTTGTTCCATTCCGAGATTAATGAGACATTCCTCCAGACATTCCCACTTATTTAGCGATAACTGCAGTTTACAGCGGCATGAATAAACGAAACTAAAATAACTGATAATAATCATACCAATAACGATTGTATATAAAGCGTACGGATTTATAGGTACAATTTTGTTTGTTTTATTGACTTCGCATACATTGCAGAAGAGAATCTCGTTAGCAGGATTATTGTAATTTCAGTATTAAGATGAAGAAAAGCACGAAAAATAGTTGAGTGGTTACATTTAACTGCAGAATTCAGATGAGAATGAAGAGGGAAGAAATATTGGTGGTGAGGATAGCTTTCAGTGATGAAGAGTGAAAATATAGAGTGAAGGAAGGATTAAAATGAAATGGGGGGGAATGAGTAACGGGAAGAAAAAAGAGAAAAAAAAAAGACAGGATGGCATAGTGCGCGGATATAAAACAAATATATTTTGTAATGGGTTTATACGTAAGATTATTATTGTGTAATGATAAATTAATCATATTGTGGTAAACAAAATATGATCTACGCTGACCAGACTTTTAAATAAGTGAAGAAAGACTTTAGGATGATATTAAAATGAAAAATTTGGCGTAACTTGAACTTCGCTGGACGAAAAAAAAAAAAAAACTACTCCGTCATGCGTGCTTTTTCGTTATATTTTTCTTTCGTCGGCTTTCAATAATTAAATCTTCGCCGTTCTTGATGAATTGAATTTGCGGAACAAATTGTCAAGTCGTTAATCGTTGAGAAGAACATAAACTTGTTATCATAAAGTTAATTCGCCGTCTTTATCAACGAATCCAATCGCATAGGCTTCCAATTGAAAAAATAACGCGATTAGAGAATCATGCGTGTGCACAAATCACATATTATAATTTTATAAATCTCCCGTGAAATAAATACATAAATATTGCTTTTCATTTCACCAAGAATGCAAGTGAAGTAATTGAACTTGAAAGGAGAATAAATCAATCCCCGATAAAGAGTTGATAAAAAAAAAAGAAATAAAAAATAAGAAATAAAGAATGAATAACGAGAGTTGGTCCGCACCCCGAATATCCCTGGTCACAACCCCTCCGCAGTGTTGAGGTCGATCTGAGTATGCCGATATCATTGAGATCATAATTTAACGAGAGAAAAATACACAAGTTGAATCATGAGCATTTCGAAGGCGATATGGTCATTTTTGAGGAAAAGACCAAGCATTATTATGTGTGATTCAATCGAAGCTTCCCCTTGCAGTGCGACAAGGAAAAAAATTCACCAACTAATAGGAAAGGTTCTGCATCTAAAGTCCTTCAAATAATGGTGAAATACAGAAAAACCAAATGCAATCACTGGAGCACATTCGGCTAAAACCGTGGAGAAACAAAACGCACAGGTCTTTCCAACAAAAATAAATAAAAAATAACTTGATAAATTGCAAACACACAAGACGTACAAAGACGCATACATTAATTACCAACAAACAGAGACACGAAAATACTGAAACTCAAATGAAACAGATCATCACATTGTTGACATACATTGCGATCCATGATTATTACTATTTACAATATAATTATTATCTTGCATTGTCTAGTCATATGTTATTATTGTATAACTAATGATATTAATTATTAATTATTAACCTGTACTACCTAGTTGCATTATGTGTTGCGTAAACAGAAGAAATCAACTAGGAAGAGAATTCTGAGAGCGCTAGAAGTACGAGAGATAAAATACAACACAGCAAAAACCAAAGTTTAGCAAAGGAAATAGTAATCGCGCGATTACAAATCTGCACACGTTTCCATCGAAATATAAACGAGAATGAATACTTCTGAATGAGAAAAAAAAATTGTCAAAGATAGAATAATATCAAGTACTCCAACTTTGGGGACGTGGTCCGCTGATAATTCTCATCAGGTTGTTCTCATCACTGCAGTCGATAATTAATGTTATCTCGCGGTGAAGAAAAAATTATTCAAGTAATAATAATAATGATAATTAGATAATTCGACTGCTCTGATTGAAAGAGAATATCAGCGAGCTGTGACTTTTGCAAAAAATCATAGTTCAATATTGTCACCTTAGCGCGCTCGAATTCATCTCCAATTTAAATTAGTGGTCATTAATTTTGACGCTCCTCTTTCACTCCCCTATTCTTTAATTCTTCTTAGTTTGATTAATGCTCTCTTTTAAATGAATTAGGACGAAAAGTGAATGACGGGTTTAGGAAATGAAAATGATGGATAAATAAATGAGATAGAATGGATGGAGAGGACAAAAGGAAGGGAAAATTGACGAGGAACGAGCGCGCAAAGGGCGAAGTAAGGAGTATTAAATATATGCGGGGGCCGCGGAGAGGAGGGAACCTCTTCCTTATATCGTCCGCATAGAAATGAATTATATATTTATCAAAGTGACGTCCAACATGAATCACATACCGGCATAAACGGCGCCCATTCATCATTACTTTAAACAATAATATTTCTCCGGTCATTTCATTATTTATCGCGCCGTTCTCTTGGCTATGGCAGTGATCTCCAACGATCATTGGCTAAATCAATTTATCTTTTCTTCAAAATCTTTATTCTCTCCCATTCCTCTCAGAAAGAACGAAAGAACCAGCGGAATGGTAATTAGCGACTCACGTCGTCGAGTCGTCCAATTTGTGAATAAAAGGAAATATTAGACAGAGAGACTTTAGATATGCGTGATATATGGAGAAAAGAAGCACAAAAAAAAAATCAACAAGATAGTCCTCGTTTAAAACACCTTCCTTGTGTAACTGTACCGCAAATATCCCTCCCTCCCTCCCTCCCGAGGAGAGCTCACGGGCCCTATTTGCAATATTTGTACTTTTCCATGTTGAAAACTCGATATACAATAAATTATATTAACAAACTTTCATATAGACGACTTATTCTTTATCACGTCATCTCTTTTTTCATCTCCTTCAATTCCATTATCGGCGGGTTGCTGGTTCCAATTTCCAATTTCCTGAAAATCCAATAAAATCGACCCAAGACGACTGAAATACGCCTACCCACCATTTTTTGCCTCACCGCCCATGACACTCCATGTCCAGTCCATGCTTTTTTTTTACTGAAATAATAAAGAATAATAAAGGAGGCTCCGTAAAAATGATGCACACCTAAGGATTATGGGTTTATCTTTTATTTTTTTTTCTCCATAAATTAATAGGAGTTACACGCTACATATAACGAATAATAAATCACGATGATCAAGTTTACAACCACATACTATCATTCGCGCAATTCATTATCCATAGAGTTGTGTATCTATTCCAATTTGGTAGTATGTACAATTTCATCTATAATACACGAGATTCATTTGTTACGACCTTTTCGCCCATTCTGATTATTTTCTACTGTTATATTGTCACGTTTTCATTGCTAAAATTGATATTGCGACGAGTTGAACAAGCATTAACGTGTGCACTTTCTTCAATTGCCCAATGGTGAGATTATCGATTATTTCTATTTCCCAATGATATGACAGAATTTTATTCAAGACGAATAAGATCTCACAATATCAGACTTTAACGAGAGCCTACGTGATGTACATTTACATATGAGTCATTTATCTCTTGGAACACACATTTGTATTATTCTCTCTTCACGAAATTATTGTTTGTTATTATGAATTTTCATCGTATTAACATAAAACACATTTTGAAACACTGATTAGATGAATTTTCCAAGTGATCGCGTCAAATTGCCTCCTTGCATGGCTCTACTTCGTCATTCATTCATTCGATTATGTAATTATTATGAATTGTATCAACATGCAGAAAGTTCTACGATGATAGATTTTCATGATTGATTCAGTTAATATTCGATGTGTTCAATGCTTAAAATCTTATTTTATCGACACGAAGATTTTTTTTTTAATTTGAGGAAATGTTGAATATGAAATTGATTTGAGAACATGCGCTATCTAGACTCTTCGGGGTGTTTCGATCAGTCTTCAAACACGATGTTATCACAGCATTTTAATAATTATTCCGTGAAAATATCTACTTAAAACTCTCCCCATGCATTTCATTATTTATCCAACAAATTGACGCGAACATCGTTCGGTAAATTTTATGTTTGTTTGAGAGAAAGGTTACACAAGCGATACAAATTTTATTTCGTGGATGCATTCAATGTTTCAGTAATGTATTTTTCTTAATATGTTACAGAAAATTTTCTCTTAAACTTAAAACTACAAAAAAATGTGAGGCTATACTGACAAGATAGACTAGAGTTCAAGGTTTTGGACGGTTGAAATTCATTCCAGGGATATTTGAGATGTCGATTCGATGATTAGATCATCAATTGCTTATATTTTCAAATAAATCCCAACCGTTTACTTTATATTCTCTATAAATGTAGATTTTCTCGTCATTTTAATGATTATTCGTATAAATTATTAATTCCCATTAAACTACGTCAATTTCTTTCGTGTTTCAATGGTCAACTTTAACTACCTTGTATTACAAATACTCAGGTATATTTACATAATGCTTTGCTCTTTAATACAGTTCAGAAGGAGCAGAGTCCGATGAATATACTTTATCATCGGCCCAAAAATTCATTAAATTTTCAAGTGAATTCTCCCGAAGAAAAAAATCCATGCTGCAATGATGGAAGAAAAAAAAAATGAAATACAGTTTTCACCTACATAATCGGATCCTGCCCAATTACAATCATTTCCTTTATCTCTATATGTTATTAACGTGTGATCAATATAAAATTATTAAGATAAACGAAGATTTGATGCCTCCCCTGGGGCTTATCAAATGGCTGCAATTATTTGAATTGGTTACTCGCATTAGTGCGATGTTTCTCTGTGTGATGTAAGTAAAATTTTAGACCTCGGTTGTACGACTGTACGGAGATGATTCCTCCGTTTGTGATAGCTTACGTTCACGTTTAGCAAATAGGCCTCCTAAAAAAGATGGCTGCTGTACGATTCCTTTACCCCCACCAGGGATTGTAGCACCTGGATGTACAGGATGAACTTGTCCAGAGTGCTTTACTCCCTGGCTCATTGAACTTGCAGAAGTTGATTGAAATGAAATTGACATACCACTGTCCAGTGAGCCAACGCTGCCACGTCTTTGGGGTTTTTCTCCAGCAAATTGCTCGTGAATATCAAGTAGTGAGTTGCTGAGAGCGGATCTCTTGAGCTGTGGGTCCAGATCAGCGACTTCTGTTCTCTCAGAACAGGGCCCAGGACATGGGCACACTTCAACGTCAGCAACCCCAGAATCTCTATTTTCCGAGCCTCCACGAGCTCCTCTACTACTTTTTTGTCTCTCCAACTCGGTCTCAATGCGAAGAGTTTCCATCTCATCCATCTCGCTGATGGACTCCCGAAGATCTTCAGCGAATTTGCACCTATCGTGCTCGTTTCTGGCATTGAATGTGACTAGTACTTTACCATCGACACGTTGAGACAATCTGATGCCATATGGATAATGAGGGACGTCAAAGAGTGTCACCACCATTCCGCACAGTGGAAAACTCTGTCGGAATGTATATGTTACGCTGCTCTTCTTCTTGCTGAGGATTTTAGTGACAACTAAAAGATCATTGAAGAGAAATACTTCGCGCTGATGTACTCCAGGCCTCTCTTTTTTATGAATATCTGGTATCTCATAAAGTCTGCAGTAGCAAACGAGTCGTCTGTGTGGCAGGGCCATATTTGGTTTCTTGCCAACAATAGTAGCTTGTACCTTCATAACTTGAGTGACATGATCGGAGCCAGGTTTAAACTCATTGGCCTTAACTCTCTCGTAGATACCAATAAGTATGTCACGATCGATATCCCCGCAGTCATCAATTCCCCTCAAATTTTTTATAAAGTCCTCCACTCTCATTCTCCTCTCAGGCTTGAGATTTGGTGTGTGGAGATCTGTATTGAGCATGATGATGGCAAATGCCAGGACAAAGACAGTGTCTGGTGATCTGAGCCTTGCAACAACGTCTGGATTACAGTGACAATAACGCTGACTGAATACTTCCATGAGTCGTTCAATCTTCTGCGCCTCCCCTGGCATTCTGAAATACGCTTGGAATTTTCTCAAAGCAACATCCACCTGCATTCCCGCAAGATCCAATTCATGGGAGAAGCACTCCAACACAGCCATGTTGAAGGTATTTTGAAGATTGCCGAGATATTCCCCGATCATCTGCTTTGACAAGCCTTTTCTACTGATTAAAAATCGGGCAACACCCTGTGGGCTGTTCTCCAAAAATCCACGTCTTATGAGATACGTTATTCCTCTCTCTGGTTTTTTATTAAATAAATTGAGGCCGACGCGGTACTGACGCTTTCGCACTGTCTCTGATACTTTGTAGCTCGTCTGTGGAATAGCCTCTGTGTGATCAATCATGGGTAATTGATAGCCAGATCCCGCGTGTGAATTACTGAGATCTTTTCCACTGTTTATTAGGGTGGTGTTCTCTGTTGTATGGCATTCTTGGTGTTCGGGTGAGCTGGAGATAGCCTTGTGCTTCCAAATTGGCGAGCCTCTCTGGACATCCCCTTCTGAGCTCTCGCAATTGGTCGAATCACTCCCTGAACTTTGCACAGAACTGAGACTCCCATTTTCAACACTTTTACTCAGGCCATTGTGACGCTGCTCCATCGATCTCGAGGTTATTGAGGTCGTTCTTTTGGGCACTTCAGGGGGAACTTTCTTGGCGGATCCTCGTGAACGCCCACCGGAACCTAATTGGGAACTGTTGCCCCAACTGTGTGTCAAGGGGGCTTGAAGATTATGAGGAGTTGAAGGAGATGTGCAGGGGGTTCTGTGGAGATCTCGAGGTGGAGTTTCCTGTCGAAGTCCGCACAGGGTTTCCTAGAAATTAATTAAATCACCATTATTACCTATGAGTGGCAGCATAAATGCAATTATTTTCTCCAATTCAATTCTCCTCTAGGTATTTTCTTCGACTCGACTGATAAATGTCTCGAGGAATAATCTTAAAGTTTTTGTTACTTCAATTTAAAATGCAAATTATTGGGCGCAATGGTTTTAGTGTTTTGGTGTGAGGTAAGAAAATAGTTAACAAGTAATACCTGAGGATTGTAATAATGAATACTGGAGCCACTCTCTTGCGAACTAGTATCCCAACAAGGACTAGGTGGTGGTTGATGTCTAGCACAGGGACTGGGTGTTAGTGATGGTGTGTGCCTCCCACTCTGATGGATATTATAGCCAGGATGGTGATGTCCAGTATTAACCTGATGGGCCATAACTTGTACCTCGCATCTACCACTCAAACTCCTAGGCATTCCTGAATTTTCAACGTGTCTTCTTTCTCTAAGTGACATACTTCGTATGGGCATAGGTCGATTAGCAGACTGTGGTGATTGTTGAATGTAAACTTGATTGTGGTAGACTATTCTGTCGTGGTCACTCGGCCGGTCAGCACTCTCTTGAATCGTCCTACTTAGCCGTTTTTCCGCTTTGGCCATTGCTGTTATTGCTGCGAATTTCTTCAGTAATGTGTACCTTCTAAATGCACGTTGAATGGTGAGCGCGGCATTTCGTGCTTTAACTCCACCGTACTTTCGTTCGAGCATCTCGATTTGCTTGTCCAGGAGGTCCTGAGAGAGCTCGTAACTCGCAGTCTGTAGTCTACAGCGTTTGTGGACATCGCCGTTCCTCATTGTTCCTTTTTTGTGATGACCCTGTTGATAACCTGACTGGGGCTGTCCACCGTAAGCTTGTACCATTGTGCCATAACTCTGGGGTGGATTATACGTGTGGGGGTAAATTTGCACCGTCTGTGCCGCTGGATACGCTGCGTAATTCTGGCCCTGTATATAGGACTGGCCTGTTATGTAGGAAGTCGACAGGGAAGTCTGACTTCCAGATGAGTAAACCCCATGTGTACTCCCCCCATGGTTTTGGCCCAGGCTGACGTTGTGGTTTGGGCGATCCATCTTCTGGGGAAAACTGAAATCATACAATTTTATTATTTTTTTAACTATCCACCTCATAATACTGCTGCTGCAAATTTTCGCAGTGGTTGCATAAGAATTTCTGCATTTCAATCAGCCGTTTAATTAATAATGTGAGAAGATCGGGTGAGATATGAAAACAAATTTGGCACAGCGTTCGTTCAATATCCGGATGGCGAGGTTGGTTGAACCAAGGGTGATTATCAAACATAATTTCCTGGCTGGAGCCTAGTTGGGTTGTATACATCAATACATAGGCAAGCGAATTTTCCGCAATCAGACAGGGGGATCTACACCGATATAAAAACCCGTGTGTCTGGCAGCCCTATTAAAAGCGCCAATGAAAATCCAATACAAAAATAATATAATAAAATTATACCTCCCGGAATTAATTCGGTCGAGTTTTTTCTTGTGACGCCAATAATACTATTTTTTCTGTTCGTCGTTTGTATTTTTTTTTCGAGTGTCCCTATTGTTACAGAATATAATGCTTAGGATTATATGTAATTTTTGAAGGGCGGCAGCAATTAAAATCCGACCTGTTCATGTTACACACAATACCAATTACCACACCAGGTGGTCAAAATAGGTGTAGCCACAGGCTACTGCATACAATGAATCATTCTATGAGTCAGAATAGTTCACCCCAAACTGTAACATCGCCATATAATGCTGTTTATTCGTTGCCAAAAATCAGCAAATTGAAAAAAAACATACCCCGTTAAAAATCCTGAGATGCAGATAATCATCTTGGCTATTGAGAGTTCCTCCTCGCACGAATTCACGTTAATTCTCAATAAAACAATATTCACTTGATGCGAAATTCAATGATAAACTATTTGATAGCGAATATTGTGTCGCAAAGAATCGAACACATTCACAGCTAGAGAGCAGAAGACGTCTTGAGGATTCCGCGGCTGGTGGTTGACTGAATTTCAAGGGCTCAGGGGAGCAGCTGCTTCCGAAAAGAATCCTCTTGCCTCTCAGTGGCAGGAATCCAATTGCCGTAAAGGTGGAACACAAGTGGGCAAGAGGAAACGGCAAGAGGAGGTGGATGCAACCGAGTATTAAAAAAAAAAACCCCCACAGAAATATTGTAGGTCTTCTTTTGTCCGGCTCTTATGAAAAGTATATCCAATGCACGTGCCAGCAGGTATATGTAACGAGGAAATGGTACATGAATTTAATAAAAAAAAAAAAAAAACAATTGGTCCCAGTGTACCACTCGAATCATTGATATTGATGCTGTCAATGAGATTAATTATGCATCAATGATAACACTCTAGGTTACTATCTTTGTTGATGAGGTATTTGAATTGTCTCGTGTTTGAGAATAAAAATCTACAGCTCAGTGATTTGAAAAGGCCTCGAATAAGCCCTGGAAGTTTCACCTGTCCAATTGCTCGGCCCATTCTCTTGGCATTGTATTTTTTTTTATTGTAGAGAGAACTGCAGAGGCAGATGATAGAGAGCACGGCAGCGCACAGAAAACGACTTGGTGCTTATCCCCTTTTCCCCCCCATAAGAGACCCAGAAGAAACATCTGCTGTTCGAACGTCTGCTGTTCAGAGATATGAGGGTTTCGTGGCACGCTTCATATATACACCTCATGAGGAACTCGTGCTGTCTCCTGAAGGGACTCTCGCCCTCTTCGAGTTGCACCTGGCGTTGCCTTGCTTTTTAACGATGAAAATTCCCCACGATTCGATCCATTTCAACTGCTGTTTTACCGCTCATATGTCATATTTTCCCCCCTTTTTCCTCGCACTTAGAAAAAAAAAATAACGTCAATAAAAAATCCGACAGTTGTTCTGCGCGAGAGATATTATGCAGCATTGGGAGGAGAATTTTCTCGCTCCTCCCCCGGAAGAATAATAATAAGGAAGTGGAATAATTAAAAATGTCTTCCTTCTTGCGGTTAATAAAAGTAAACCAGGAAACTTTGATATTGGTTACCCGCAATAACGGAATCTGATAATTCTGTTCAATAAATCCGTGCAGTCATTCTATTGGGAAACTTGTTTTTATGAAAAGTTTTCCACTTGACCTGTTATTATATCGGTGATATTCTCTTTCATCCACTTGATCCGGTTATTAATGAATAAAAAGTATTGCAATATGGATAAAGTGTAACTTGAGACATTTTTCAACTGATAAAACTCAATGATAACTGGGGGAAAAAGTAAAAGCATCGAAAATGGAGAGAGGAAGACTGATTAGGGAGATGGAAGAAATGGAGGAGTACGGTAAGAGGAATATGATAACAAATCTTCCTGGAACGCACGTGCCCCATCACCAGAGACCATCTGCTTCTTCCTTGGGGTATTATCTACGTCTCGAGAGCTCACGCCTTAGACCCACAATTTATTTAAACTCATCTAAAACTATTTTATTTCACCACTAACAGAGTGAATATAATTAATTAAAAAATGTTTTTTTTCACGACCCCATTTTGATATTTGTAATTTTGAAAGCTCTCAATACTCATGAGACACGCAGTATAAATTTTGGAATGAGAAAGATAAAGAGAACGAGCTGGAAAATATTCCCGTGGGATGAGAAATCTGGTAGCAATTTGAGAGAAAGGAGAGAAGCGGAAGTGGAAGTGAATGAAGAAAGGGTGGAAAAAGTTGAGTGGAGAAACTACTTGTGGGCCGTCTTGAAAGATCAAGTAAGAGATGGAAACCAGAGCTCTCAGACACACTATGGGCTCTGTTGAAGGGATATCGTTCACCACTTGGACACGCGCTGCACAAATTCTAACAGACACTGTCCTTTAACGGATAAAATAACAGTTGCCACCAATGGGAGCCAAATATTTCATCATTCGAGCATTAATTTATCACTCTATTCGGGTGTTGGACATAACCGGAATCCAGAAAATAGAACATCTGGAAGTGGAATAGTTGAGTTGGTTGCGTGATATAAGGCATTGCGCATATTTAGTTCTGCATTAAGTGTGAAATGCTCCAATTCCCTAATGCCAATGAGATACCAGTAAAATTCAATGATCACAGTCCAGTTGAGACACGCAATATGAATAGTCCGGCTTAATTCACCCTTCCCGTTATCACGTACACAGCATTGAGCATATACTCCCAAACAGGTTGTGAATTAAATTTAACAATACTCTGGATAACGGTCTGGCGCCTCTCGATTCTCTGTAATTTGTGTGGGTGCACATAGAGCAAAACAGATGGAATAATCGAGCCAAAACAAAACTCGCGGGAATTGTCTTAATTAACAGAGAGGCACAGTTGTTTCGGCTTGCTGAGAATGACAGTTGTGATTCTGCAGACCAGATTTTTTTTTATCACTCTGTATGACATACTCCACACGGGTTATTTAATTAGGTCAATTCAATCAAAGTTTTATTTAGTAATGCTCCTACGCTAGTTATTGATAATTTTGTTTGTCCCCATGAATGGAAAGGTCAGTTGAGAAAGGATCTGTGGAAGAAGTAATTTGAGCAGAAGATATAAAATATTAGTGGGACAATCCGAAGAACCCTTTAATAGTCGTGGGCTTGATCCCAGAATAAAAATGTTCTTACAAAAGATCCCGGCCAATAGTTCATGCATTGAGTTTCGACATCATTGCGATTGGACTCTTTTTTTCCATACAGTCGCCAAAATTTATTCTAATGAAAAATATCATGATTTAAAATTAAACTGGGAATTCTCGGATTTGCACCATTTATAATATCGAAAAAGGCATATAATAACGAAAAAAAAAAGTGGCTTTTGTTATGTTTATACAGGAAAAGTTCAATTGAGAAGCGAGAAAATACGAAATTGTCATTGGTGGAGAGTGAAACGATACAAATGTACGTGGGAAATTATTCAGCATCCGGTGGAATGGAACGGAAGTTGTGGATAAATCCAATTCTACGTTATAAATAAAATTTTCAATTTTTATTTAGCCTGTGTACATGGTGAAGTAATTCAATCGAATGTACAGAGGGCAAGGCCTTGGCAGCCAACTGGCGGTCCCTTTATATTTGGTTTGTGAACGGTAGCACATTCAATTGAAATACCAGACAAATTAAATAGAAGGTCCATCCAAAAAAAAATGTTTCCCCTTCATTATGCCATCTACATTTCTACCTAAATACCTGTCTAAAAGAGAGTATTCCACAGCCCATAACAAATTCAAAATTGCATCACATAAAATTTCAGTGGTTAATTTTATGAGAGAGCAGAGAGAAATATCCTGAAGGAAAACATCATCTCAATGGACTTTGGAATGAACAACATGAACAAAGCCGAACGTTTGCCATCAATTGACGCAAATCATGCCCAATCGTCGTCACCAATTATCTATACAAAAGCGAATTAGTTTCCATCCACACGATCATCAGACTGTGAAAAACCCAAGAATATTGCCTTGAGGTGGTTTTTTTCACGTGAACACTCAAACTAAAAAAACAGTTCCTAGAAAGAATATTATTTACCTCCCGATTGGTCACTCTTCTTCTTCATTCCAAAAGATTCCAAATTCATAAAGATCTACACATTATACTAAAAAAACGCCAATGCTGATAAAAGAAAGTCAACAATTTATATTCACTAGATATGACGACGGTGTCGACAATTGCAGCTACCATTGTTATTTTCTATTCGAAAATCCAAAACTCCGGAAACACGGATCCCGGTAAATATTCCCACACGGAAGCTCTATCTCCTCTCCGTCCCCAACTCTTGTATTTTCCCATTTTTCAATGGAATTCCCGATTTGAATACAAATGCCGAGACAAAGGAGTGAAAATAACCAAGGGGAAAGGACCACGAAGGTTATGCAATCAAACTATTATGACGGCTTCTTCATTAGCAGGGGAATGCGACATAAACCGAGAAATAATTAAATTTCAGGTGCTAACTCGTCTCACTACAATCAAATACGAATGATAAATTTTCACGTGTCACACTGGCCTTGCGATTAATTTGACAGCTCAATACGAGGAATAAAATTTGTCGATCTGTCGAATGGATTTGATGGCATGTAATGGTAAACGCTTATATATTAAAAATGCATTTATGGCAGTGGAAGAGACCGAAGCGTGCGAGAGATTGTGTAAATTTTCCAAGAACAGTATTTTTTCTCATTATCCATTGCCATAACTAAATGTTGGGTTAAAATGTGTGGGAGACATGCCGAATCACGAGAAACAACCTGCGTAACACCCCACGCTGAGTAAATTTGTATTATCCATGCAACAGCATTGCCTTTTCACAAGACTCACCGTTTTCAGACAGATGTTTTCGATTTAACAATTACGTAACACCTATTTTGGGTGGGAGAAGTGAATCGACAATATCTGAGGATAATACCGCCGACTAATTCCGCCATTTGTATAATTAATACTGACGTTATGCATACACAAAATATATACCGATTAATGAAGCTCGTTGGTGTTGAATATCCAAGCTGAAGACGTGATCTTATCACTTTCTCTTGTACAGTCACAACTCTGTTACTCCTTGAACTCTGATGGATTCTCGTTGTCTTGACAACATGGTGATAATGATGCCGGTGACAATTATTATTTTGATGTTGCATTTGTGATGTTGTGCATGCAACTAGCCTTTCTCGTGGCTCCACCATTGTAACACCAAACATGATTTCACTTTCCTGTGTATCACCACACAAACACTAAGTTTAACGTTTTCTTATGGATTTTTTAAGCAACCCTTTCACGATACATTTTTATCTCGGTATTATCTCTTGATTATGCCGGTGCAGTTCGTTAAAGTTGAAAGCTTCATTAATTCCGGTATTCCTCATCAATACATCCTGAATTTTATAGATACTATAATGTATCCATCGGACCTGAGTCATTGCAATCAAGCCAGTTACATGAATTTATGGGAATTGAATATTTATTGGATTTTTAGAAATTTTTTTGAGTGGGTTTCGAGCCAAGTGGGTCAACTGTTGAGTTTTTCATTGAATTTTCATAAAAAAAATATCCGTTTTAAAATGAATTGGAAATAGGTTGACTTAGGGGAAGATGGTAATGGTGATAGGATTGTTCAAGTGATAAAAAGCCAATACCTTGACCTTTCCAAGGAGCGACCTTTAATTCCATCTACTTTAGAATTCAATGCTCTTCAGAAGAAGGGAATAAATAGTAATTCAACGAAATTCTCTTGGTTAATGAGATTTTTCATGAAACAGGAAGGTCTCCTCGGTCCCGGCGCTTTCTACCAATCGATTTGTAATTAAATAGGGCGTTAAGACTTTCTAATGATGGGCAATCAAGACCAGTGTAATCAACTGGTCTTGGGGACTCTCAGGAAGGAAATGCGCAAGTGACGAGAATGCATAATCAAAGCACCAGAAGACTAATTATCCCCAAATTCAATACGAATAGAACGCAAAGACCTCGTTAATTAACACCGCGGTTGTTAGAAAAATTTTTCATGCCATGACAATTGTTCCGCTTGACGTGGAAGAACTTCTTATCAGAACGTCAATGTCGTGTGCACTTATGCGATCACTTTCAAAGATACCGAGCTCATGACCAATGACGAAATAAAATCGAGACCTGTTATCATCGTCGTAGAAATGATATTTGAAGATGTAAAATGGAAAAACAAGTGATTTTCCAATGTCAGTTCGATATTTCGTGACTGAATAAAATTCAATACCGTTTGTTCTTCTTTAATACACGCACATCGGGGTCGCACGTACCGATTAACTTGGATGAATAGTAATGACCATTCAATGAATTTCCGAAACTATTCTCTCAACTTTCCAGCGCACTATTTTCTGAATGAAAACTATCTGAGAATGAATCTATAAATAGTGGTTGCAATAACGGTAAATTTTGAAAATTGGTTAGTTTACTGCTGTGAATATTAAAATTAGCAGTTTCAGTTTTTAAACTGGTGATTTATTAGTTATAGTTTACGACACAGAATTTTTCCTTGTATTACTTCACTTCCTCGGGCAAAGCACAAACCGGAGAAAATTATTATAGGGAATATGTGGAAGTAAATGGGAAACTTGAGTGGAAAAATGGAGTGTGAAAGGAGTACCTTGCTGACCACCAGATTCGTCGATGGACGAATATAAACTATTGGCGACGAGGCTGCCGTTAGGTTCGATACGGTAATGGAACTGTCAAACTCTTGGTAAGTGAAGGTGGGGCAGCAAGTGTCTCCCACTGCCACATGTTTAAATTGTAATACCTCTCACCTATATACACCTCTACCCATATGTGAATAATGACGACGATAGCTTGGAAATAAACATTTTTCCAAGTACATGGAAAACGAGTTAATTTTATCGTCAATCCAACAAAGTCATTTTAATCTACACTCTAAAAAAAAAAATACTTTTGTTATAGAAATGGAAGTGACGTCAAAGCGTCACCTTTTAGAACTGTATAATGGATATAATAAATATAATGGGTATACAAATATTTATAAGAGGAGGATTTTCAAGAATGATTTTTCGGTGTTACTAGTAGTTTTCAACGATGACAAGTAGTCCGAGAAATATGGGTCGAGAATTTTCATGCGTGTGCACTCGATTCGCTTAGGTACCAGTATAAATACAATTTCTCATATCAAACTTTCGATAATTAATTTTGAAAAATCGGTCATAGCCCCAGTGAAAAAAAAAAAATCTTATTGAATGAATGGTATGAAGCAATTCACGGAAAAAATTAATCAATGGCGATAGTCGATTTTTTATTCTGAATTAGTGCAGGGAAACAGCAATTTCTGAGTGACCTCGTATTGAAATGAGAAGCACAGATGTAAATCAACTCGGTTAATTATCCATTTTGAAAATGTACAGAGATTAAAACGCAGTGAAACGGTATGCACCATGAAGAACCGGTGAAGATGCGGGATTATTAGGGATGTAATAATCAACATGGAGAATACGAACGGATGTATGTAACGGAGTATTTAGAAATCTGTATTACGTGCTCGGATGCGTGCCTACAGTATGGGATGCACGCGGCTCATATTACCATTATTTATTATTTATAAGAAAATCCAATGCAAAGTTATAGTTTCAGTCACTTTTAATTCTGCTAAAAAATTAAAAAATGAGAATTTTATAAGAATTCTGACTCTGATAGGACGAAGAAATCAGTTCAATCAATTTTTCAGTCTGAATTTGGATGACGATATCTCGTTTTACTAGTGTCTCTCCATCTGTTTCAATACCAGCTATTTTTAACTTCAATTACTTATCGGAAACATATGAAACGACTGATAATTTCAATACTGATGGCAGAATTTTCATTAGATTATTTTTTATTTTAAAATTAATTTCAGGTTAAAAAATAAGAAATCGCGACGTGCATATTTAAAACCCTAGCATACGATGGATTTCGATTGGATTTGTTTACATCCATATATTCATTCGGGATTTCCTCAATGCCTGGCGGTACTTATTTTTATATTTCTTCCTCCCAGTGCAAAAAATAAAAAAGAAAAAAAAAGGCTGGACGTGCCCAGTGAGTCATCAGTGACTCGCCGGAAAAAATTAATGCGACTCGGGGAGCGTTTATGCCCGACAATTATGGTCAGGGAAGTTGTCTCAAAATGTGACAGCGTACAATCGAGCAACGAATAACAACTGTACCCTAAAATACTGATTACAATGATCAGAAGGATTGATTGCGTTGATGAATTTTTATAAAACTGAAATAAAATAGCCATGGAAAATGACACGAATTTTTCAACAGTAGCTTCAAACGACCCCATTAACACACTTACAATCAATATCGTAAATGTGCCGCAACCATGACATGAATAAGGCTGACAGCCAATGCATGTGTCCACACACTTCGCCAGAGGGTATTACATGAGTCATCTTATCTGAACTGATTGAGAGATATTATGTAAGATGCGTACGGATAAGAGTTGCTTCCTGATGATTGATCATCCCATCTTTTGCTTCGGTATTATTCGATTATTATAATTCTATCCTTTCCATGATCTCCCAATTATTACGAAATCCAATGAATGCGGACCTAATGAAGAATTTTCATAGAAAATTTGGTCTATGTGCAGAAGAAAATTAATAGAGAAGAATGCAGGAGTAGCAAGGCCATTTGGGGGGCTTACGCTCGACTGAAGATGCCGATAAATTAGCCTGTGGCAAAAGTAAAAGTCGGTGATCGAGGAGAAAGTCGCGGGCAATTTGGTCTCACTTGCTCACTTTGGATCCTAGTCGGTACTGGTCTATTTAGCCCCAAGATATGCGCCTGCAGTTTCCAACAAGTGGGTTAGATACAGCTGGTTGTACTGAGGCAATTGATTTTTTTTTAATGAGCCGTTTCTTTATTAAATCACGTCATTAATTTTCCACTCTTGGTCTCGTACCGCTGATAATTATTAATGAGCGGAGAGAAATCACTATTTCGATAATTACAGCACGCATTATGACTTTGTTTTCGTTTCTAATGTAAGAAATGAAGTTAATTTTTCGTTATGCTTCAATACACGAACATGAGGACTCCAACAGAGTGTAGAAATGCTTATGCGGGCATTGAGATACCGAGGGAAAGTATTCGCGGGAAAGTCATGATAATGGACTTGAGTGAGGAGTGAATTTTCGATGATGGCTCTTCGTCACATAATGGAAATAAAAACAGACTATAAAAATAGGGTCGGGTTGGAGAGACCGTTAAAATAATTTATTCGCTTCTGATTGCCTGATTTAGTATAATTCATAATAAAATCGTGGGTTCATTCCCAATTGAATTAGCATGAAACCAAGACTACTTTCTTCTTATTTCGATTCAATGTGACTTTTTCCATTCCATTGAATTTAATGATTTGTGAAAATGAGCGTTGAAAAAAAAATTCACATTAAATGTTATTTCTACTCGATCTCTGTGAATTTTCACATAATTTTCCGCTCTATTTTCAATTGATGATAAAACCGCCATTAATATGCATCGCTAGATTGATTTAATTAATCAAGAGCTATCATCTCTTTGGCCGATCAACGCAATTAATGCTAGAAAACAGTTAACCGCTTGGCGTAGGTTTAGAAGTTGAGAGGTAAGTGAAAACAGCTGACCCTGATGTTTTGTATGAGCCTTCACTGTCGGACTCGCCAACAAGTCATTTTTTCCCCCTACATTTATACCTTCGTAATACCGAATAATTAAATAATAATCACTGAATAAAAAATACGATGACACTTGCATAAAACAATATACCAAGAGAATGGAAGGAGAACAACACAACACAGCACTCGCAACACTATATTATCACATGTTAAACCTCTGGAGATTTCCAGCTATGGCCAATAAAACGACAAGACACTAGCCCTGGAGAACCGTAACTGTTCTATTTTTTATCGCTCTCGTTCTATTAAAAAAACGTGAGGTATATCGATGGAATGAGTGATGAGGTGTGTGAGCATGACAGGACTTGTGCGGTTTCGGTTGGCGGTTTAAGGCTGACTGGCCGCGACGATATTCCGCGGAACAGCGCAATGTTGCTCCAATACAACTCGCTAATACCCCTACCTTCTCCGTAGACCTGACGTCGGAGACGAGTACAACTCAGTACATATACAACCATAAGGTTATAGTCCACCAACTACATTCTCCATCCCAATCCAACCGATCTCTCCAACGCACACCCTCAAATGCAAACCCTGCATTACGGTAGATGTCGCATGCCGAGAATCACTCGCTCTTACACCTCTACAAATATACGTGTAAATAAAAACAACTCGGTACTCGGTACTCGGTATTCGGTATTCGGTATTCGGTGCTCGGTGCTCGGTGCTCGGTGCTCGGTGCTCGGTGCTCGGTGCTCGGTGCTCGGTGCTCGGTCCTTGCTACAGTGAATTTGTATATTTTATAAATATATTGAAGAATCCTTCCGATAGCAGAGGAATATTCCATTGTCTCTTAACGTTATTGAACTATTCAACGAGGCAAGCAAAAAAAATGTTTACCAAGGATGAGAAAAAAGCAACTTTGAGGCAAAAACTCGCTGACAAGCGGAAGCAGATCAGCAAATTTCTCACGGTGGTGTTAAAAATACCGTCCCGTCATTCTCCGCACAATGGATTTAGTATTTGAAAAACGATGCCAGGATGAGATGTGAAAGTGCTCAATCGGAATATTGATTAACAGGCCACAATCATCTGTAATTTCGTTTAGTTCCGTTCCACAAAATGCGACGGGGAACATTTCTATTGAACAACATCTGGCTGGTTTGACTATGTACACAAGCCATCGATGAGTTAGGAAGATGACAGAGTGTGGGCATCACAGACGAATGAAATTGCATCTGTAATAAGGCATTGAGTTTCATTTATGGATGTCCGCACCGCAACTATCTATTGCCATATCTCGTTGAATAATTATGAATTTTATTGTTTTGGTAGTGGTTGACGCAATGACCACAGTCCTAACTCCGTACCAGTCGGCGCCATGCACTTTAATGTCACTGGTACATGATAACAACTCACACACGAAAACCTATTCCCCATCCGAAAAAGCGGATATGTAAACAAGTATCGAGTTTAACTGGCTAGTAAATCCGAAAGCGAGCGGCACCATCGACTTTCTTCTCTGGGGGGTCTTGACCCCTGATTAGCCGATGCGAAATAGTACACGAGCAAGCTTGTCGCAATGTAACCTGATATGTACTCCTCAATCCATAAATTTGAATTTCTGCAAAATCATAACGGTATCTCCACAACAATGGACAAAAAAACGTGACGAAATGCATGCTCCCATGGCAAACAAACATTTTGACCCAGAGGCGTGACACGTTTTAATGCAGATAAACAGAGATAAAAAAAAAATCGACTTGAGCAAATCGGTGGAGAAAGAGGGAAAATCCATCGTGAAAAATAACGGTATAAGCATAGCCTGCAAACTGTACTTATGTGAATATGTACAAAGAAGCTTGGAAAAGCCCATATCACGTGGAATATAACCCGTTTTGTTGGATGTATTGAAATACCAGAGGAATACATTCCCTCCTACGTCTGGATATCCGTTTTTCTGTCGTTACCGAGGAGAGACTGGGCTTTTTTTTTTGTTTTTTTTTTCCACTTTACCGTGTGCTTCGCCCGATATCTGACGACTCAACAGAGAATCCTTATATGTCGGTGCCAGACCAAGGCGTAATCGAACTGTTGCAATACGATTTTTCTCAAATCCACGATCGCCTGAATAAACAACTTTTTCCAATGTCTTTCATCGAACTCAATAGCACCGATGAGTTATGTAAAAAATCAATCATCTTGACAGTAATTCGTATTTAATTATATTTTGTTGGAAGGTGTCCCTCAAAATATTGTGCAAGACCCCAGGAATAATTTATTTTCCATGATTTTCCTACCGGTGAGTGATGAAAATGGAGAGAATGAAGATCCCCACCTGATCCCGATAAGATTGTCACGAGGGTCTGAATAATTTCTGAAGATTTCTCTATTCACAACATGAATTAACGCCTTCGAGTTATAGGTTGGAGGGGAAACGCTGATTTCAACAGTTCCTGGCTTATTAAACACTTCCTACACACGCTCGCAAAATACTAGATGTGAACGTGGGTGACTAGACAAGTTGCTGAACAACCGAGTTAGTGCATTCCCACGAATCGAGTATATTCCTCCCATAGTTGAAAATTTTTATTTGCCATGAAGGTAAAAGGTTCCTGGTTCCTACAATATCACTTGCCTGACGTAATCACTGTATCTTGTCTCGGTGATTATTGAAAATTGGATGAAGTGAAAATAAAATTGATAAAACTTTCACAAATTATTTCGTTAAATCAACTTCCGGTTCAACGACGCAGGGGGGTTTCGAGTGTAGGCGAAATGCGTTAAATTAAAGTTGGATTTTTTTTTCCTGGTAACGGTGTCGTTGCAGATCTATCCAGGGAAAAACTAACGAATGAATAACGAGCGAATTCCGTTTACTCCCGGAGATGGGAAAGTTGTGTATGTTGAGGAATAACAATAAAAGCTCCCCAGTTGTGAACACCGCCGAGTATTACGTCCGCGTTAATTTAGTTTCGCATAGAGTTGACTGGAGTTAGTGCGATAATTGATGTACAGATAGTTCATCCCCCGGAAAATGTACTCGCGGTTTTTGAAATCGATTGAAAATCCATTGAATATTCCAGAAATTTACCGATCCGCCTTTAAAAATAATTGCGCAGAGGTCATAAATTCCGGCGTTCATTTCAAGATTTTTTACTTGAAAACGACAATTCAATGAATAATTTTCGAAGAATGAATAAGTACAGCAGTTAGATTTTTCAGTCAACTTGAGTGTCAAAATCCTGTTGAAGCACTCGAGGCAGATAGAATAAGCATGGACAAGTCGAAACGACCTTGTCTATGATTGTGCAATGTTGCACAGAGTGACCTAGTCTGAAAGGCGTACCATTCACCGACCAGAGCCAATACGACTCAACACGAGGCTCTTGGTATCTTAAGAAAATATCGCCGCTAATGGTGCCAATGGTTAGAGTAGTTAAACACAAGCTGAATAATCCACCAAATTTTTCTGGTCCACAATAATTCCCTAACTTGAATCAATTAAATATAATAAAAATATAAAACAATCAAATCAATCACAACATTCAGCGTTGAACAATGAAGCTTTGTATACTCTTGAATATATCTTGGCAATTTCCTAATTCCCACGGAATTATTATGGAGTAGCATGTCTAATTGTTGTGTATCAGGCATCAACAAATTGCATAATTGTTTGAGGATGTTGAATAATGGAAACAATGGGAATTTTGTGGTACTTCAGAACTTCACTGAATTTACTTATTGGTGTAATATCCACGAAGAGTGGAAGTGATATTTTACTGAATGTATCAATTGTGTTACCTTTGTGTTGAAATATCGAATTATCAAAATAAATTTGAAAGAAACTGTGTAACTCACCTGAAACAGAAAGAAGAAACATTTTGTTAATTTTTATCAGTATTGGATAATACTAGGGTGAGTGGCAAAATGCCATATCAATTGGAGAGAGTACTTGGGCGAATACATTCGATTAATTAATGCAATTCTAAATGAATTCTTCATTCGCCAATTTACCTGTAGGTATTGCCGTAACAGAATAGTCTCATGATACACATATTAGCATGAATATTCCAATGAAATGACGAGGTATCGCATCACCATTGCAATCACTCAAAAAATTAGCGATAAGGGAAATCTATAATTAAACACGATTGTGGCCAATTGTTCACTATTGCAGCCGCACGGGGCTATTGATCGAATATTTGCCGACAAAAGCGTCTTGGCGAATTATAAATGAGAGGGAGATATCTTATCAGTCGACGTCACAGAAGATAAGTGAGGAAAGAAGTTGTGGTGGGTGCATAACAAACATGAAATGATGCTTCAATACAGGTTGAGCACATTCTGATTTATGTGAGAGCTGTGGATCGAGGTGTTTAATGCGATTGTTATTGTTTCACTTGTTTTCATTATATGGAGTTGTGCATTTCCAAGACGTGTATTGAAAGAATAAACAAAAAATGTTTAACAGTATAAATCCAAAAAATATGCGAAGATTTTTCCCTCGAAAAAATAAATTACCGATGACAGCACCATAAATTACCAATCACCATACCGAGAAATCTTCCAACTATAAAATTCTAATGAGCTTTCCCGGAATAATCAATAGCTCATATTTTTTTAATTTAAGATCAATACCATATTGCCTGCACGTGGGTTCGATATACGATAGGATGGATTCTATTGACGCCCTCTCTGAAAATCGTGCAACGCCCACTCTTCCTACGACTCTCATTACCAATTGATAATACGAGAGAACGTGGACTGCGAATGAACTCGGATTATCCATCGACTAATTTGCTTTATTTTCCACGATACCGATATTTTTTGTAATAAAAAAAATCGAAAATATCATCGTGTGAAGTCGTACGTTAAGATCGCGAATCTTCATGCCCATGTCGATCAATATAAACCCTAGGAGGTTTCACTTGCGCTTACAGGGTATATCCCGAACAATTCATCCGAACCCATGTGTCCTCCCCCATTCGCCTGGCATTAGAGAGTCACCCCTCGGAATGGATTTGAAAGTAAAAGTATACAATCCCTTGTTCTCCATCCACACATGATACCGGCGTTATTGCTGCACAGCAAACATGCATGGCCCACTGTAATTTCGGTGATTGCATTGGCTGCATGTCGCTTGTACTTCACACAGACGTGAGAGCTATCGCGCTATTTAATTCAATACTAATCCGTCCACTGAATTTTGTGATTGAATGAGTGGAAAATTCGTCAAACCTCACGAGTTCATTATTAGACACAATAGACGAGACACCGATGCAATTAAACAATCATCGGTGAGAACCAATTACGCCATGAAAGGGTGATCAATGGGTGAATGCACCCACGTGCCCGGCAGACGTGTCTGCACTTGGCCGAATTTTT